AAATTTTGTCCTGATCAGGCATCTGCAAATGATTAGTTTGGAATTCTTTTCTGGGGAAAGAAAGCCATTTCTGATTTTCTTTTAATTCAAGACTAGAGAGGTAATTGATTTAGCAGCATTTACCAAGCCTTTCTTTAGTTTAAGAACTTACTTGTAGCTGTCAGTTGTTCCATATTAACTGTAATTTTTTTAAGCAGTCATTTTTTGCTTTTTAGGAAAACTTTGTGACTTTGGCTTGTAGTTTCCTTCTGCTTAATGTTTTATAGGAATAATCCTGTGAAGTTTTTCAACCAGTTTTATTCTGTAGGTGTTAAATATTCAGATGTGGATTATGTATACATCTTGTTTCTTATTTATATTCCGACTTTTGAACTGTGTTGTGTCTTATTCACACCTCCAGTAGAGTGCCTGAGGAATAATGAAGAGAAAGTGAAACAGACAGTTTCCCTATTCATTAACAGCTCTTCTGAAGGTTTAACGTTTAAACTTTTGGCTAGAAGGCATGGAGCTGGCTGGTTCTTTGATTTCATTTTATCCTACCTTTCCCTTTCTCATCAGTGCAATGGATAAATGACTCTAATATCTTTCTTCTCAGATGAATTAAGTTTTGACTTTGTTAAACTGTAATAGGCTTGCCTAATTCATTAAATACCACCTTCTTAGAAATGACTTACTTCCCCTCATTTCCCCAAAACTACCTGCGGAAACTCTTGTAATCACCATTAAGAGAAAATAAGTTGTAACTTAGAAAATAATCTTGCTCAGGGCACCTGGCTGGCTCAGTTGGAAGAGCATGCAACTCTTGATTTTAGGGTCTTGAGTTTGAGCCCCACGTTGGATATAGAAATTACTTAAATAAATAAACTTAAAAAAATATTCTTGTTCAACAATTCTTGTTCAAGAGACAGTTGAGATCTGTGCAGTTTGCTACATTGTATGATTTGGACAAATTTTACTGATAATGTATTCTTCTTTTTTTTTTTTTAAAGTAAGCTCTAGGCCCAGTGTGGGGCTCGAACTCAGGACCCTGATGTCAGGAGTCATATGCTCTATTGACTGAGCAATATATTGATAATATATTCTTGATTTTTTTTACACATTGATAATTTTTATATATATATAAATTATAAGTTTATATAATACAAATATATATACATATATATAAAATAAAGATCTAAAGCTCCTTTTTTCCACATCAGTTTCTACACTAGACAGAGCTGACTGCTATTGTGCTAAAAATGATGTCTTTTCTTTGTAGAAAAACATGATTTAAACAAAAATTCCTATTAAATGGTTATTGAACTGCTAAGGTTGACACTGAAGGGCTAGCTCACTGACAGAGCCAATAAAGCTATGCTTTTCTTCCCTTTTTAAAAAGTCAGTTATTTTCAGGGTGCCTGGGTGTCTCAGTCGTTTAAACATCTGCCTTTGGCTCAGGTCATGATCCCAGGGTCCTGGTATGGAGCCCTGCGTCGGGCTCCCTGCTCAGCAGGGAGTCTGCTTCTCCTTTTCTCTCTCTCTCTCTCTCTCTCTCTCTCTCTCTCTCTCTCCCTCTGCCCCTCCCACTGTTCATTCTCTCTCTCAAATAAGTAAAATCTTAAAAAAAGTCAGATTATTTTCATATTCTTTGTTTTGACAGGCAACCACCAAATGTTAGTATTTATCCATGTTTAAGATTTATGTTTAAAGTAGAAAGTCTTCAATGGAAAAAACATTAATTTTGCCTTTCTCAGAGAGGAGGAGTTCTATAGATATACACAGATATTTGTTTTTAAATATTAGCAGATCTTATTTCTAATTAAAAGTCAGAAAAATTACAGGCAGTTTTGATTTTTATAACAAGCATTGAAGAGGAGCTTGCCAAATAAAAACTTTTTTGTTGACTTGTAATTCAGAATAATATAACTTTTAAATATATCTTTTCTTATTGTCTTCTAGAAGTAGTTACAAAACTAGGGAGGAGAAATAATTTGCAAATTGATTCTCTAAATAGTTAATAGGAATTCGGAGTTAATCTGTCAATGTTTGGGTTTGTCTCCATAGCTTACTATCTATATGATGTTGGCTGAGTTACTTAACCTTTCCAAGTGTCTATACAATAGCAGGGATGATAATAGTACCTACCTCATTGGAGTTGTTAGTAGCTAAGTAGTTGTTAGTAGATAACTTAGTATAGATATGTAGCAAAGTGCCTTGCAGATAGTAAGCAATGAAATATTAGCTGATTGTTTTTAGTACTAGCATCATCTTTGAAGAACAACCTAACCTTTTTTTCTTACCTTGGTAATAGAATGTATTAGTGTGAAAAACTATATAGTCCTAAGTTTAATTTGGAAAGAAAAAGTCAAATAAGTATGTTCCTTTAATAAAGAAAAACTCCTTTGCCTTTGAACATGGTGGATTTTTTTTTTAAATCTGTAGTTGCGTTAAGGTAATGAACCCAGATTTACCTGGCCTGTCTTTGCATACACAATTATAGAAAATGGGAAGCTTTTTAAAGACTAAAGGACAGGTGATCTGTGCTTTAAGGAAGACTTTTTATAAACCCATTTTGATACTAAAATCTATAACATTTGTATTAAACTTTCAGGAAATACTAGCACAGTTTAGTGTCTTGGAAATTAGGTGATATAATTTATTTTCATTCTGAACATTTTTCAGCTGCATGATCTAATCCGTAAACTCTTGATTACATTTGCAAAGTTATGTGTCTACCTAGCACAGGAACACAGCGGGCATATTCCTACTCCAATAGTCTTTGTACTTTTTGCTTTCTTTGCCTAGAATCCTTTCATCCTCATTGTAGCCCATCCTTGGGGCCCTCATGGGGCAATCATGACTCTACAGAAGGGTTGTCTACTTTTGAAAGATGTTCTTTCCTTTATCTAAAATGTCACTCTCCATCCTTATGCATGTTTTCCTCATTACAAGGTATTATATTACACACTCTTGTTTATTTATTTTTAGATGATTTTCCCATAAGAATAAGAGCTGAGGGCAGGAACTTAGTTTTACTGCTAATTTCCACTGTGTATGATATAGTACAGGGCCTGGCGTTAATAAATACTTTTTAAGTGAATGAATCAATGAGATTGTTCAAGTTAAAATATAGTTTTACTGTATAGATGGGGAGAATGCGTGATCCAATTTTTAATATTTATTTTCTATGAGATATTTATGCTCATGAAAAAATGAACCATTTAAAAAGATGAGATTTATTGTTTCCATCCCTCTACCCCCCCCCCCAAAAAAAACCCCAGCAGGATTTCAAGTTTAGAGTATTTTGTACATAGTATGAGATGTCAATCAAGAGGCCTAATTGAGAACACCAGTTCAGTTTATAATAGCAAGACTGCATAGTCGTTTAACTGCTCTGGGTTCATTTCCTTACTTTGTTTCTTTTCTTTTTTTTTTTTTTAAAGATTTTATTTATTTATTTGACAGAGAGAGACACAGTGAGAGAGGGAACACAAGCATGGCGGAGTGGGAGAGGGAGAAGCAGGCTTCCCGTGGAGCAGAGAGCCCGATATGGGACTCGATCCCAGGACCCTGGGACCATGACCTGAGCCAAAGGCAGTTGCTTAACAACTGAGCCATCCAGGCGCCCTCCTTACCTTGTTTCTTTTTTAGGTTCTATCTCAGTGCCTGGTATATCGTTAAGGTAGTCAATAAATGTTTTTTGGGTGAGTGAATTAACCTATTAAAATGAGTAAAATCATGTACTGGGTCCTAGTTTCTCAAAGTATCCTAAAGACCCTAGAATGAGAGCTTCTGGAATAAAATGGATCAAAGAAATTTGTGAAACTCTATTCCATTGATTCTCAAAGTTAAATATGCCTCAGAGTCACCTGGAGTGCTTATAGTCTTTTAGGTTTACCCTCCCACCTCCGTATTTGAAGTAGGGTAGTGAATTTCTAACAAGTTCTGAGAGGTAGGGAGATGTGATGCTGGTTATGCTGGTCCTGCTGGGACCACACTTTGACAACTCCTTTTGTATCTATTTCAGTTGAGGTGATTCACACTGACCTATTGAAGGTTTAAAGAAGCACTACCTAAGTAGGGGAAACTGTTTAACTCTTAACCCAGTATTTCTAAAACTTATTCGACTCTAGTACCCATTCTGTGTGTGTGTGTGTGTGTGTGTGAGAGAGAGAGAGAGAGAGAGAGAGACAGACAGACAGACAGACAGAGTGTCATTTATCACATTATACCCAATGTCTATGAACATCCTTGGAACTATTGTTGTGTGGGTCCTACTTTCAGAAACAAAGCCAGCTCACATCTGCAGTGTTTTCCACATGTAAAATGATGATTTTGTTTGTTTGTTTTGTTTTTGGCATGTTAGGGTAGGTGAAAACTTAATTAATTTGGCATGTTAGGGCAGGTGTTAGTGAAACTCTCAGAAATTGAATCCTGTTGCACAGCTGGGAGATATGATATTCGTGATCTGCATGGAAACATTTATATACGTTTTTGATTTTTGCTGACATAAATTTGGGATAAATTTAAGGATGTATATAGCAAGCAGAGTTTCACGAAAATTGAGCCCAAAATGATGAAATGATTTCTTTCTCAGTACTTTTTTTTAAATCTTTTATTCATATTTCTCTTTCTGCATGTCTTTTTAATCTGCCAAACACATTTTCATAACTTCAGTTCATGGCAAAATTAGGAAGTAATATTTTATCATGAGAATTGTTTTCTCTAAAATCTCAACTAGTGTTTCTTTTCTCTAGTTGTATTTTGAAATGTGGGCTAATCTTGTCTCCCACTATAGCGTTCTGTTTTGCATGCTGGATTTTGTTGACTTCACTGCATATTTTAAACATGGTTGTACTTATTCTGGTCTTCTTAGAGTAATGGATATAATAAAAGATTTCAGTAATGATCAGAAAGGGGATATTTGAGAAAGAAGTGATGGTTACAAACTCTTCAGATATTAAATGTAGCACAGAGAGTCTTCAAACTTGAACTTAATGGAGTACTTTATGTTCTCCAAGGCTGTGGATCTTTCCATTGATGAGTCCAGCTTGACAGGAGAGACAACACCTTGTTCTAAGGTGACCGCTCCTCAGCCGGCTGCAACTAATGGAGATCTTGCATCAAGAAGTAACATTGCCTTCATGGGAACACTGGTCAGATGTGGCAAAGCAAAGGTAATTTTTTCTCTTGTTTTGAAAGTAGCAGTTTCTTTGTTTTCAACCCTTTTAAAAGTTCTATTTGGTAATTTTATGTGTCTCTTTTTAAAAATATATGACAAAGGGGCACGTGGGTGGCTCAGTCGTTAAGTGTCTGCCTTCGGCTCAGGTCATGATCCCAGGGTCCTCGGATTGAACTCTGCATTGGGCTTCCTGCTCAGCAGGAAGCCTGCTTCTCCCTCTCCCATTCCCCCTGCTTGTGTTCCCTCTCTCGCTGTGTCTGTCAAATAAATAAATAAAAATCTTTAAAAATATATATATGACGAAGAAATGACAATTGAACCTAACCCATAGCCACTATTTGTGAGACTAAGGCGCCTATGTCCCTGAGGTGTAATATGTCCATATTTCTGCCATTTGCCAGATAATGGAGCCTTAAAAACATAGTCCTCAGTATCTGTTCTTTTTTTTGCTTGTTTTAGATAGAAACAGCGGCACATGGATATGTTCATTACTAGTTAAATAAAAATTTAATTTATGATAATGGTACTGGCTATCATATTCTGAATATGTATCACTCACCTACTGATGGATTTTAGATATTTTGTTTCCTGGATTCTAATATTTCACAAATATAAAAGACATGATTCAGTAGCATTTGAGGGGAAAAAGAAAATACATTAAATGTCTCTCTTGAGTATAAGATAGTTTTGAATTTCAGAAATATTGATATAGACAAAGAATGGGCCTCAGAATTGGGTCAAGGCTTATATAGTAAGGCATAAATACTAGTGATCTATAGTAATATCACAAAGTTAATTTGCTGTGGGAACCTTGGATATGAGTGTCAGTCATCTTGACTGTGGGCAAGGCTTTGGAGAAAGTGAATGAGAGGTTTTTGGTTTTTTTTGCTTGAGAGTGGTGATTCCATCTGAATGTAAATGTATTTTCCTGTTTTTCCCTTTAGGGTATTGTCATTGGAACAGGAGAAAATTCTGAATTTGGAGAGGTTTTTAAAATGATGCAAGCAGAAGAAGTAAGTACTTAATTTGTTAATGATGTTTTCATTTCAAATCTGAAATTCTCTATTACAAGTAGAGGAACAGAAAGTATTGGTGGATTATTTTATGTGCTATTGAAAGTAGTATTTTATTCAGAATATCACTCAGTTGTCTGTGTTTAAAAACATAATTGGAAAGACTGTATTTGAAAAGGCTTGAATTGACATTGTTAATATGCTAAAACTTTTTTTTTTTTTTTAAAGATTTTATTTATTTATTTGACAGAGAGAGACACAGCGAGAGAGGGAACACAAGCAGGGGGAGTGGGAGAGGGAGAAGCAGGCTTCCCGCCAAGCAGGGAGCCCGATGCGGGGCTCGATCCCAGGACTCTGGGATCATGACCTGAGCTGAAGGCAGACGCTTAACCGACTGAGCCACCCAGGCGCCCCGCTAAAACATTTTGATAGTCATTGTTTATAGGAGATAAAGGTTTATAGCCAATTATTTATAGGGCTTATTCTTTTTAGAAATTAGCTTTATATTAATTTTAAAAATTACTAAATGGTATATTTGTCTTCTACCAAAATTTCCAACTTTATTTAATTCCAAGTAATGGGGGAAAAAGATTGTAAAGTAAAATAACCTGGAAGATATTCTTGTTTAAGGATATTGAAGATTAGTTCTCTCATTGAAAATACTTTCTTATAAAAAAGAAGTGGCATTCTACAAATGTCATATTCTCCCTGAGTCATCTGGATTTCTCAGGTAACCTGCCAAGATCCCAGTATGTGATGCAGTATATAAAACCATTCCAAGAAGCTTGGCAGTGAGGGAAGTGCTAGAGAACGGAGTTAGCCGATCAGGGAGCCAGCTGGAGAAAAAGACTTGGAGCGAGCTTGTTTGTGGATATAGAAAGGAGAAGATTGGAAAAGTGAGGGGCAGTGAATGGTAATAAAGTCCTGGAGAAGCTGGTAGGGATAATAGATTTCTTCTCAAAAACAGGTATGGGGAGCATGGACCTTTTAAATAAGCAAGATTTTAAAAGTCTCAGCCTCAGTTTTCTCAGTAAAGGGAGTAATACTAACCTTAAGGGAGAGATGTGTATGTCATGGGTATGTTAAGAGCTAGCATGAATATGTCAAGCACTTAGCAGAGTCCCTGGCACCTATTTTATTTTACTAAATTTAGCTCATTGTAGTGACACTATTCTCCAATTTGTCAAGGCACCAAAAACCCCTCTGCAGAAGAGCATGGACCTTTTAGGAAAACAACTTTCCTTTTACTCCTTTGGTATAATAGGTAAGAGAAGAGTGAGTATGTATATCTCATCTATTTACTTAGGTTTTGTGTGTGTGTGTGTGTGTGTGTGTGTGGTAAGGGGGAGTTTAGATAGCTGCGTAAATTTGTTTATTCATTTAATTAATTAATTTTTAGCTTACTACTTTTTAAAAATTATAAAACCAGCCCCCAACCATTGTCCTTTCTACAAAGATAAATTAGAACTCCATGTAATTCCTATAATCAAGGAGCATTTCTATAAACATTTTTGTATTTGTCTTTCTAGTTTTCAGCAAAATGTTAGTAATGTTTTATGGACTATTTTTCCTTTTTTTGTTTCACATTTTCTTCATAAGCATCTTGTCATTAAATAGATGCTCATTAAATTGATGTCATGAAATAGGTGGTTGTATAGTACTCCATTATGTGGGAAAAAAATATCTTAGACTTCTTGAAGACATTTCTATGTTTTTTGAATTTTTAAAATTATGTAAATGATTCTTCAGTGAGGATATCTTATTAAATTCATAAAAGTAAAATTGGGTCAAAGAGTATCCATGTAATTTTCAAATTTTTGGCATATTTTTAAAGTTTTTTATTTATATTGTCAAATAATACCCTTCAACAGCAAGGCAGAGGTATTACTCTTCCAGCACCCTTGCCAACTTTGTTGTCATTAACAGACAAAAGACTTCTCATTATTTTATTTCACAGTTCATTATAGAAAAACAGCACTTTCGTAATATGTGTGTTGGTCCTTTTTATTTCATGACCTGCCAGTCTGTCTTATCTTTTGTGGCTTGAGTCTTAGGCTGGTAACAGCTCTTTGTATAATTAGGATATCCATCCTTTTATTACGTTTTTGCCTCCAATTTTTAAATTCCCTTTGAGGGATAAATATGATAAACTTGGTACAGGAGAGAGAATAATTGAAACATCTTCTGATATAATTGTCCTATTAATCTCTGCAGTTATAGTTTCTGTCTTTGTTCAATTCATAAAGGCTATCCCAATCTCATGTTGTAGAAAGTGTTTATAAGTATATCTATTTAAACATCAATCTACGGCTTTAGTTATTATTTTTGACACTTAATTTTACTATTTAGAATTTATTTTAGTATAAGACTTAAGGTAGAGTTAATAACAGTTTTACTCAAAGGTTAATTATCCCAATACCATTAATTCTGTAGTCCATTCTTTATTCACTGAGTTGAAATGACATCTTTATCATACATTAAACACTTGAATCAATTTTGGAGTCCTTGCTCTTTAATTTTTCCATGATGTTATTTTATTTTTTAATTTTTTAATGATTTTATATATTTATTTGTCAGAGAGAGAGAGAGAGCACACAAGCAGGGGGATCGGCAGGCAGAGGGAGAAGCAGGCTTCCCACTGAGCAGGGAGCCCAATGCGGGACTCAGTCCCAGGACCCTGTGAGCCAAAGGCAGACGCTTAACTGACTGAGCCACCCAGGTGTCCCTCCATGGTATTATTTTAATTATTCTTGTTAGCTCAAAGTTTCAAAATAATAATACAGTTTTAAGTTAAAGCAGATTTCTGCTAGGCAGTTTCAGTTAAATAATTATTTAAATATTCTATTGATCTCTCTGCCTTCATAGTAAAGTAGAATGTAGAAAGGTATTTCATTCCTCATTTTTAACTAGTAGGTAGTTAATTTGATTATTTGATTATTACTGTTTATTTTCTAGAATTTATAGGAATTTGATAAATCTAAGGGCATTTAGCCAGTGAAATCTCCCCAGTTATATTAATGCTGTACCATGAAACCACCTCACTTTTAGTGATAAGAATCTTTCAACTTTATGATTATCTGGTTTTAATATAATGCATTAAACAATTTTTCTTGTTAGGATAGTATATGGAATAGGACAAAGGTTAAGATCAAAATCTGAGGTCAGCAGACTTTTTTGGGGGGGTGGGGTAAAGGGCCTGACAGTAAATATTTTAGCCTTTGGTCCTTACCAAAGTATTTCTAGTATTCTCTGATGGAAATGCTCAACTCTGCCATCAACAGGAAAGCATCATAGACAATATAGAAACAAATGGATGTGGCTATGTTCCAACAAACCTTATTTACAAAGGCATGCAGGAGGCTCACAGATTATAGCTTGCTGACCCCTGGTATAGTTCATTGAACATGATTTTTTTTGTTAGGATAGTATTTTGGATAGGATCTTAGAGTGTCACCATCTGGATTATTATTTTATAATTGTAGAAAGATGAAGAAAAACTTGTTTAAATTGAATACAATCTTGAAGTGGCTTTATTTTATTAAGTCTATAATGATACTATTTTTTCTCACAAAACCAGCGGTGCACTCCATCCCCCCCTTCATTTCAGTATATGTGCTGCCGAAGCGAGCACTCCCCCCCTTCATTTCAGAGACAAAGGTTAAAGCAGTGTATGTTGTTTGGTTTATGTTAATTGATTTTTAAAAAGATTATTTATTTATTTGACAGAGAGAGAGAGCACAAGTGGGGGGTGAGGTAAGCTGACATGGGGCTGGATCCCAGGACCCATGAGATCATGACCTGAGCCAAAGGCAGATGCTTAGTCGACTGAGCCACCCAGGCACCCCATATATTAGTTGATTTTTTATTTGTAAATGCCATTAAAAATAGTAATTTTTAATTGTTAATGCAATTTTAGATATGTTAAGTAAGATAAATCACTCTTTGAGCCAACTCCTAATTAAGTATTCTTCTGTTTGTAGTACGAACTTTATACTTATACATATTGCCTGGATATTTAGTTAAGGGGAGTAAAGTTCCAGGGTTTATTTGTGCAAAGCTGTTAATAAATAGAAGATCTATATGTCTTACTCTGCCTTCTTTTTTTCTCCCGTTGTATGAAAATACTGGTAATATTTTCTTATAGTGCGAATCCTCAGATATTATTGCTTTAAGGGGGGGTGGGTGGCAGCAGTGGTAACAAAAGGTAAAACTGTCTGTGTGTGTGGTGTGTGCATATACAGCATTGACTTTAAGCAGCATTAATTTTAATCTCCCCTGCTTAATGGATTTTTGTAAAATCATGTAACTGTGATCTGATGCACCTTCCTTTATGTCAGGGGACTTTTTGGCTGCCCTCAGCTTGTTAGTCTATCCCATCTATACTTACGTGATTATATATAAAGGGAAACATAGTTATTTGATTTTTGTTCCAGGTATCATCATGTTGGTTGGCTGGTTACTAGGAAAAGATATCCTGGAAATGTTTACTATTAGTGTAAGGTAAGTTCTAATCATTTGTTTATAAACTGAGGTCTCTTTTTCCTCTCTTATTTCTCTAATAGGCATAGGTTATATTCCATTATGGAGGTATTATATGAGCAGAAAAGAGAATAGTGTCTCTACTTAAATAGTTCAGAATTCATATATTGAAATAAATTCTAGGAAAATGAAAACATATAGCAGAAGAAAACCTGCACCAGATGTCTGGTATTATCAGTCTAATACTGCATTTTTATATATCAATAGACAGGGATTGCCTAACTGAAAACTAGCAGCATGAAAGAGAAAGACCATAATAATAGAAATTGAATAATCAGTCTCAGAGGAAAATGAAAAATTGAAGAAACAGCAGAAAAATTTAGAAAGCATTTTAATTTTCAGAGATCTGTGAAGAAACTGCATTCATGATAAACATTACTTAGAAGGATCAGAGGACAAAAAGAGTTTTTAGAAATTATGATTTTAACTGCTAAAATTAAAAATTCAGTATAAGGGCTGTAATGTAAAGTCAAAGAGGGATCCCCCAAAAATCAAGTAAAATGTCCAAAACAGAGAATGAAATAAAAGTGACAAAGAGAATAATTTAATAAATGCCATATCTACCCAATAGGAGTTTCAAAAATGAGAGAAGAAGAAATTGCATAAGAAATGATGGAGTATTTTCTCAATCTGAATCAAGACATGAAATTTTTATAGTTTGTGTGGATTCTCTAAATGCCAAACAGGATGAAAAGAACTCCCAACCTGGATACATCATTATTAAATTAAAGAAAACAAGTTAGGTCATCTATAAAGGAAGGATAATTACACTGGTATCACATTTCTTGTTAGCAACTGCAGTTTCCACCATGGATTTTTTTTTTATTTTTGAAAGATTTTATTTTTTTATTTGAGAGAGAGAGGTAGGAGAGAGAGCATTGGGGGGGGGTGGAGGGGGACAGAGAAGCAGACTCCCCGCTGAGCAGGGAGCCTGATGGGGGCTCGATCCCAGGACCCCGGGATCATGACCTGAGCTAAAGGCAGACACTTAACTTACTAAGCCACCGAGGTGCCCCCCATGGGGTCTTTTTAGACTCTTCTAAACATTTCAACTGACAAAACTTTAATAGGTCACAATTGGTACCTGTGCTCTGAAAAGTGGGGCAACTTAAGGCACCCATCTTCTGAGAGAGTCTGTGCAGCAGTTCAGCTTCAGGTACAAGGAGATTGGGATGACCTTGTGAGTTGGGGAGCTACCCTGGGTTAAAATGGTTCATACTTTGTGAGGACCAACATCTCTGGAAGCATACTTTCCAGGGTGCTTGCAAGAGACATGTCCAGTTATGAGAGTCACCTACACTTAGAAAACCCAAAGTGATGGCTTCCTGTAAGATAATTAAAATTCTTCTAGTCCATAGATGGTTTATCAGTCAGGAGATCCTTTTATCATAAGCAGTGTTGCCTAGCAACATAGTTGACTTAACTACCCTAACCAGGTCACTAGAGAACAGAGCTAGAGATTTAACCAAATGCAGAACGGGAAAAGGATTTTATTAACCCTTCCTCCACAGTAGCATTGGATTACATTAGAGAACAGTGGGGCAGTGCTATCAAAGTATGAGGGGAAAGGATTTTAAATCTATAAATCTAGGCAGAGACAGCGTATCTATCCAGTTAATTACAAATAGATAGGTAAGTAATCAGAAAATTTATTCCTTCCCTGTCCTGTATGAATTATAGTAAAACAAGGATGAAAAAAGGGAAGATGATGTATGGGATATAAGTAAGAGTAGAACTCACCTAGGCATCTAAGGAAAAGAAATATTGGATAACAGCTCTATCATAGGCCTAGGAAGTAATATTTCAAATGTTAGAACAAAAACAGTGAATTAAAAAAGAAATCAAATGGGTTACAAGGAATAGGTAGGTTGAATAAGAGGTTAAAAGATATTTGTGATAGGGTGAAGGAGTATATTTTTTTCTTTAAAGGAGCAAAAATACAATTTGAAACTCTTGGCTTCAATCTGTATAAAAAAGACTTCGGTGAAATACGAAATAAGTTTAAAATGAGGCATGAGTGTGAGATACTAAACATTAGCATATTATCCATTGGACTTATTTTTAGATTTTGAGGGTTTTTTTTGAGCAGTTCAATTTTATAGATTGACATTTTGATTTCTGCTTCAAGGTCTTAGGACAAAGCATTCAAAAATATTTAATAGAATAAAACTCATTCTATTTTGCAATTATTATATGGGTCCATTGTCCTTTTATAAATTTAAGTAAGATATATTATGGGATCTTTTGTGACCTTATTTTTCCTGTGTCTTGAAGCAGAAGCATTATATTATTTTATTACCCTAGCAATTATTTTATTTTATTTTATTTATTTTATTTTTTAAAAAGATTTTTATTTATTTATTTGACAGAGAGAGACACAGCGAGAGCAGGAACACAAGCAGGGGGAGTGGGAGAGGGAGAAGCAGGCTTCCCACTGAGCAGGGAGCCCGATGCGGGGCTCAATCCCAGGACCCTGGGATCATGACCTGAGCCAGAGGCAGACACTTAAGGACTGAGCCACCCAGGCGCCCCCCCCTTCCCCCAGCAGTTATTTTAATAATTATTTCCAGCCGTTCTAAAAATGAGTAAAAACAGTAAGAATGCAGAAAAATGATGGGATCACTTATAGGGTTGATGTAATAATAAAGTAAATCCTCATTATTCTGTTATCCTTTAATTTTTTTATTATGTTGCTCAGAAATATTACATTGTCATTTACAAAGGTATAAAAGAGGTCTAGAGACAGTCATTGTCTTCTTTTGTTTTTACTCATTAAAGAATCATAATTTTTTGCTTTCCACCATAATGGCAAAGAATAGTTGATAGAAGAGTAATTGGACAAACCAGAAGATGAATGCAAGGAGACAAAGAGCCACTGTACGCTCTAATGATGGGGGTGAAATTTAATCAAAAAAGTGAAATCTTAACACTCTGAATCTTTGGATGATGGTAGTCTAAATTTTCTGAAACTCCTGAATTGAATGAATAGTTTATTTCTAAGGACAAAAGGGAAGGACAGGTATTCCCTTTCAGTTAGTCATTCTACAGCAAGGAATTCATCATGCAGTGTTTTCCAGCAAGAACCTAGACCACCCCTTTTTGTTAAAAGGGGTAGTTTTCTTTAATCTTTTATGATATTTGTTTACCAACTTTTACTTTATACCATTTATAAGTGGAGAAAACCAGAGGCTGGTGTGAATATAAAAGTGATTAAAAGGAAATAGATGACATAGAAATGAAAAACTAATTGGACTCATGTTATTGGTGTGTATAAATCTAAAAATTATGTTACAAAGATGATGACTGTTCTCTTTTCAACAAAATTATGAACCATCCACAATTTCAAAAGTGTTGTATTTTGAAGATACAAATACAAAAAGTGAAACCAGAATGGATAAGCCTATAACCTATTGGAAATGTTTTTTGAATTTGAAATCAGTATTTGTAAAGTGAATGTATTCCAGGTTCTTTCCTGACAGTTGATGAGCCATTAGTTGCATGCAGAGGACATTGTCCCTTTCAGATATATGTATACCTTCAAATCCAGGAATGTAGTTTGAGGTTAAAATTAAAAATTTCTAATGAAGTTTTTCACAATCCATTTTATTCCTCTGCAAATTATTTATAAAGTGACTTAAAAACAAAAGAATGGAAAGGTCCATTAGATCTAGAGTGTGAACAATGATGCCTATTTTTCCTGATACATCGAGGGTTAATGGAGGCCTATGAAAAAGTTTTCTGTTTCAGCTTAGAATAGTTCAAAAGAGGGAAGGAAGTATTAATGATAGCACATATTTCTTTGGAACCTAATGTGGGGCTTGAACTCACAACCCTGAGCTGAGATCAAGAGTCAGACGCTTAAACTGACTGAGCCACTCAGGTGCCCCGATAAGCACATATTTCTGGACTCTTTGTGTACACTATTTAGCCAGTGATACTGTGTCATTCACTGGCTTTCAATTTTTAGAATTAACCTGTAAACAGAGCATGAAAGCTTAATAATGCTTACAGAACAGGATGCTAATGATTACAAGTTAGATCATGCTAAAGAAAAAGTAGGTAATAGAAATTGGTGAGTAGAAGCAGTGGATGCAACAATGTTAGAATGAAGAACAGGAACACATATGTTCTTACCGGTAGGAGAGTCAAGAGCTAATACTTGGAATGGGATAAAAAATAGACTTAATTTGATTTTTTTTTTAAATTTGCAAAGGGAAACTAATTTTTTGTTGTGATAAAATACATATAACATAAAATTTACCATTTTAAAATATACAATTCAGTGGAATTAAGTCCATAGTGTTGTACAACCACAACCATTATTGAGTGTCATCACCCCAAAAGAAAACCTTGTGCCCACTGGGCAATCACTCACTATTCTTCCTTCTCCCTAGCCTGTGGCAGCCACTAAACTGCTTTCTGTCTCTATGGGTTTGCTTATTGTTAATTTCATATGAATGGAATAAAAACACTATGTGTCTTTTGTGTCTGGCTTCTTTTTTTTTTTTTTTTAAGATTTTATTTATTTATTTGACAGAGAGAGAGGGAACACAAGCAGGGGGAGTGGGAGAGGGAGAAGCAGGCTCCCCTGCTGAGCAGGGAGCCCGATGCGGGGCTTGATCCCAGGATCCCAGGACCATGACCCGAGCCGAAGGCAGACGTTCAACGACTGAGTCACGCAGGTTCCCCTGTGTCTGGCTTCTTTAATTTAGCATAATGTCTTCAAGGTTCATCCATGTTGTAACATGTATCAGTACTTCATTTCTTTTTATGGTGGAATAATACTTCATTGTATGGATACACCACAATTTACCATTTATCAGTTGATGGACATTACAGTGATCTTTTGGCCATTGTAAATAGTGCTGCTATGAACAGTCATGTATAAGTTTTTGTTTGAATACTTCTTACTGTTAACTGCATTTATAGATGAGAAAACTAAACTACAGAGGTAGAATAATAATAGCTCAGGGTCAAACAGGTAAAAATTGGTGAAGCCATTGGTATAAATCTAGGTAATCTGATATCACAACCTACATTCTTCAACCACTACACTTAACCTGGCAGCTAAGAGGTATCCAGTAAATGTAATCAACTTTCCCTTTCTCTTGAGGCTATTTTTGAGTGTTAATGGTATTAATTATATATTTTATTAGTCTCTGTTTTAAGTAACAGCCCACTGAAATTATTGCTGTATGTACTATTTGATTTATACTTCAATACTAAGTATATATTGGTTACAGTTTGGCTGTGGCAGCAATTCCTGAAGGTCTTCCCATTGTGGTCACAGTGACTCTAGCCCTTGGTGTTATGAGAATGGTGAAGAAAAGGGCCATTGTGAAAAAACTGCCTATTGTTGAAACTCTGGGTAAGTATGTGGTAATAGGAGCATACTTATGCAATAGTGTGTTAATTTACATCAACAGTGAATCATCTTCAGGTTGTACATTTTTTGTCTGAGAGGCTAGAATAGTGGTATTTGACTTTTGGCAAAATTAAGTATGGTTTTCAGAACCAGAAAGGTAATTAAAGTGTATATCTTTCAGGACAGGGTACTTACAGAGAAATCTTACTGTGTCATGCAATGTTCTAATGCTTAAATCATGTAAAAAAGAAATCTATAGAACAAATGAAACCTTGGAGTAAAACTAATAGAATTTTTTTCTTTTGACATCTCAAGGAAGATAATTGATAATCATAGATCCTAGAATGTCATATTCCAGTTGAATTTGCTGATAAGAACAATAAACATACAACAGTTGCTAAATGTTGCTATAATATAACTTTTATGTTTGCTATGAAACTTCTTCTTTAAAAAATTTAGGAATCCAAAAATATTGAATTGAATTTTTAGTTTGCATTATAATATTGAGAAGGCAAATTCCTTAACTACTCACTGAAAAAATTACATGGGTTTATATTTAGGTACCCTTAAAACTTCCTAGAAAATGTATTATATAAAGTTATAATATAAAGCTAATACTGAGAAGCTCTGTAGAATTCAGTTGCAGGTTAATAAGAAAAAGTCAACATTTATCACTATTTTTTAATTTTAATTTAAGAACTTACTTTATGGTGGTGAAAAGCATAATGAGAGAAAACCTGAAATTATCAGTGAGCTTGATTTGTACAAAATTAAGAGAAACAGGACAGGCTTCCAGAGTCTTTGATTTGTTTTTAATGTGAACTTGTTTATTTCTCCCTGACTCTTGGTGACATGTAATGGTTTATTCTGTAGGCTGCTGTAATGTGATTTGTTCAGATAAAACTGGAACACTGACAAAGAATGAAATGACTGTTACCCACATACTTACTTCGGATGGTCTGCATGCTGAGGTATTCTATAGATTTTTTTTTAACAACAGTATTTCTTTGTTAAGAATCTTTGGTGTTTAGACATTCCTAACAATTCTAGTGTCTTATCTTCAAAAGGGCTATAAATTCATTATCAGCAGAGCCTTTTCCTTATGCTACCAGTCTTGATCCCACTGCACTTGTACAGTCCAGAAACTTTGAATCATCCTTGGCACCTGTCTTTCAATCACCCCTAGTCGTTTGTTTCCAAACTCTTATTCTTGCTCTATATGCAGCTTGAGGGATCTTTTAGAACCAAATGTTAGCAAGTTTATTTTAATTAATTAAGATGTTTCAGTGGCTTTCCATTGTGATCAGGATCCTGAAGTATGGCCTTTCAGTCCCCCTACATATTTTCTGTTTTTCTTTATACTCTAAGTTGTAATAGAGCAGAACTAAGTTGCCCAACACAGGGCCTGCCTCATGGTAGTAAGTACTTGTTGAAAGAATAAATGAATAGATGAATTATTTTATTTTAAAAATAATATTTTTGGCAGTGTCTTAAATGCATGTCATCTGTGTGTGTTGGTTAATTTTGAAGTTAGGTAAGGACAAGGTCCAGTTTCACCCCAGTCTTGAAAGGATTTCTGGCTGGTATGTTCATTCACACTACTTAGGATGGGTACAGTATTTTAAATTGTATTTGCATCCAATTTACTACATCATTAGAGAGATTGACAGAAATTGTACTTAGGTTTATTTAATTCCATTTTACATAGGCTTTAAAATGAGACTATTGATATTTAGGATGTTAGATTTGGTTAAGGATACCCAATACTCTGTTGTTGAATGTGCCTTTTCTGGATGATTCAGGGTCATTGGGGTTACATGTGCTTGTGTGGTTCAGGTATGAAAGATAGGATATAAGTTTCTGTTGTTTTAAGCCCATACTTCATATGTCAAGCATTAACTGTTTGTTAATTTCTCTCTAACCTGTCTTATTTTTACTGTGAAATTGAACTTTTGTTGGCTTAGTTTGTTCTAGCCATACGGAATAAGTATCTGGCTTTTCTCTACCTCTGGTTTTTAAAACTGGCATGTAATATACTATGTTAAAGTAGTTTGTAAGTGCTAGGATAAATCATGTAATGTCTCTGAGCCTGCATATTTGCCAAAAGAATTCTGCTTTTTTCTGGGTTTCAGGTTTGTCACAAATGTTAGATGTGGAAATGGATTTGAATCCTTGGAAATTTACTGTTTATAAATGTAATGTTATATAAATTTAAAGCTCATTTATGTACAGAGGTTTTCATGGTTATCCTTTATTATGGTATATTTTAAGTAGAAACAATATAAAATTATATTAATTAGCAATATGTTTCTCCTTAAAATATACTATACATTGTTATAATTATTAATTTAATGATTAATATAATTACAGGTTTGTCATTATGGTGAAAATTAGAATCTATATTCTTTTTTTTTTTTTAAAGATTTTATTTATTTATTTGACAGAGAGAGGCACAGCGAGAGAGGGAACACAAGCAGGGGGAGTGGGAGAGGGAGAAGCAGGCTTCCTGCTGAGCAGGGAGCCCGATGAGGGGCTCGATCCCAGGACCCTGCGATCATGACCTGAGCCGAAGGCAGACGCTTAACGACTGAGCCATCCAGGCACCCCAGAATCTATATTCATTTTTTTTTTTAAAGATTTTATTTTATTTGAGAGAGAGTGCACGAGTTGGGGAGAAGGGCAGAGGGAGAGAATCTCAAGCATGCTCTGGGCTGAGCTTGGAGCCCAACACGGGGCTCAGTGTCACGATCCATGAGATCATGACCTGAGCTGAAACCAAGAGTTGGGCATTTAACCAACTGAACCACCCAGGCACCCCAGAATTTATATTCTTTTAACTGTTAAATGTTCTTTTAGACACATGCTTTTCTAGGTATATACACTAACAGTAATCATAATGTATAAAATGAAATGAACACATGTCATCATAGGTTTTGTTTTTTATAAGTCACTATCTACTGGTTGAATTATTGACCCCACTTTATGTTCCTTAGGTTACCGGTGTTGGCTACAATCCGTTTGGGGAAGTGATTGTTGATGGTGATGTTGTTCATGGATTCTATAACCCAGCTGTTAGCAGAATTGTTGAGGTAAATACTTTATTCTCTAAGAAGGTGACTTTTCGTAATGACTTAGGACACAGTGATGGGTTCTTAGTTTCTGTATATTTCTTTTAGGCGGGCTGTGTATGCAATGATGCTGTAATTAGAAACAACACTCTAATGGGGAAGCCAACGGAAGGAGCTTTAATTGCTCTTGCAATGAAGGTATGTGCCTGATTTCTCTTTGACATATGAGAACTCACTTTCATAAGAGAATGTAAGGCCATCAATTTCAGTATTACTGGTTTTTAGGTGTAGAATGAAGACTCTCAATATTTCATTGTATTATTGCCTTTTGGGAACCAGTTTTATTCTTCCTGGAAATACAGAGCTAATCCAGCCTTTTCAGTATAGCTTTATCCCTTACATTCAAGAAACAAATTAATGACCAGTGACTAGATTTCTTCTTATGAAGGAATGTTTTCATAATATTTTCCACAATATTTAGAGTTTTGTGTGGAAAGCTAATTGCTGAAGTACTTACTTTCTATGTAAAGATACTAAAGCCATCATGAGAAATCAGCTTTTCTTTCTCTAGTCTTCCCATTTCCTCCATTATCAATTTCTTAAATGAGTATATTATTAGAATTTGTGTTGGGGCATCTATCCCAGTTGATGTCCTCTTCTAAGTCTTATATTTGATTAAATGAGAAACCTAAAGTCCCCTTTGTCACTCCCATAACAAAAATTGAAACTCCTACTTTCAAGAGTAGTCTTAGAAAATTTTGAGACTTGTGTGAAACAGGACATCTCTAGATGAGGTTGTTTGAATTGAGATTCAATATAGAAATGTAGGTTATTATATTTAATTTAATAAAATAAAATTGATAGTTTTAGAATAAAGCTACATTTCTTTATCATTTTGTTGTAACTAAAATAGCATTGAATGGCTTTTTGAAAGATACTTAAAAGTTCAATCTGTTAACCATTATTTACTGTGTTATACTTAACCTTATACTCTTAACTTTTTTAAGAGATAAAAGAGTGTGAAACCACCTCCTTATGACTGGGGATCTCACATTTTAGGTAGGGAGTTGACACTGACATGCATGGAACAAATACAAGCTAGACCAGTATAGCAGATAGTTAAGTCTTAAAGGTTGAGCCACATATAAGAATAAGGCAAGTTCAGATTTGAGACCTAGGCTTTGAGGCATAAGCAGGATTTAGATAGATGAGCAAGGATAAAAGCATGGAGGAAAAAAAAGCATAGAATGTGTGGTGGCTTTTGTATTGGTGAATTTGGATGGAAAAAAAAGGAGTTTGAGTAACCCAGAGGATTGTTGAATAGACTGCATGGTGGGTTTCTGGAGGGCCTTTGAAAGCCAGGAAGAAGAGTCTGAACATATTTCAGTAGATAGCAAAGAGACAACAAAAAGCAATGAGCTAGGTTTTTCAGTAGTTTAAAAATATTTTTGAATATTTGGAGTTAAAAGGTAGAGGGTATTGTGAAGAACAGCTAAAGGACACTGATAGTAGGTCAGAATATCAAGTGGTAGGATGGTAGCAACAGGAAAGATATAGTTGAATCCCTAAGAAGTAAGAAATTGAATTTGAAGCTTCTGTTGATCAGTATTGGTTGGTTGGGTACCTTTATTTATTTGTATCTTGCTTCCTTCGAGAATTTGAGCCAATAGAGATTTTAATCTAGTCAGTGTTGAAGAGTTGGTCTACATACGGTCCAGGTAGCATGCCTTAGCCTGTGTCTACACACCCAGGCTTTCATCTTGATCATGTATGTTGCCCTTCACAGAAATGTGGTATATGTAGATGGAGCACTGCTATTCTGTTACCATTTTTTGAAAAATACCCAGGTATCTCTAGCCAGCCAACTGTAAGTTGTGACCCTTGTTCTCTGTTAAAGGAAAAAATAGTCACATGTTGGTGAGAATTAACTTTCTTTTTGTGCCATATAGATGGGTCTTGATGGACTTCAACAGGACTATATCAGAAAAGCTGAATATCCTTTTAGCTCTGAGCAAAAGTGGATGGCTGTTAAGTGTGTACACCGAACACAGCAGGTACCCTTCCATGTAAAGAGTACTTACTAAATCTTATTTAATATAGATGACTATATTGTATTTATTATCCACCTTTACTTTTAAACAATCATTGAGCATAACAAAGCCTTATTGCTTTAAAGTGTGTATAATTCATGGTAACTCATCTTTGTTCTCATGTTCTCTTTGAATTCATGCGTAGGGACATCAAGTTTTGCTTTGTGAGCAAACAGCTTAAAATGAACTGGAGCCTGGTCTCAATGTCCTGGAACTTGTGACACCAGATTCTATCAACATTTTTGTTGTTGATGACTATGTACTATAGATTTCTGCCCTCTGGTGTTAATCTGTGTTCTTTCACTGAAGGAATGTCTTGTCTTCAGAACAAACAGAACTGCATTATTTTGTGGAAAAGTGCTTACCAAATGTGTATAATTCATATTAGTTGATCCAGCTTACAAACTGGCAAAATGACATGCACTGATATTTCAAGGCGCTACTTTGTTCCTGGGTGCTTTAGAAATGTTTACAAAGTTATTATCTTATTATATTATCTTATAATTATATTATATATTATCTTATTTATATTAATATATACTATATAATAATATTATATGTTATGACATAATATATACTATATTATTGTACTACATATTATATTATTATATAATATACTAAGAGTTATCTGCAGCATGTAATTATGTCAGTCATAGTTGCTATTACCAGCTTGATGCTTAAACTTACTTTGCCTTTAAAATATACATATTTTGTTATTTTTATATTTTCTTTATTAGGAATTAATAATTGGTTCTGTGTTTTCACCTGTGAGCAAGAAACCATTACATCCCTGTAGACATGAATGAGTGAGAGGATTTCCTCACACCCCCATAATAAGTAGGAAATATAATTGATTTTATTTTTAACGATTTTATTTATTTATTTGTCAGAGAGAGAGCGAGAGAGAGCAATAGCAGGGGGAGCAGCAAAGGGAGAGGGAGAAGCAGGCTCCCCACCAAGCAGAAAGCCCAATGCGGGGCTTGATCCCAGGACCCTGGGATCACAACCTGAGCTGAAGGCAGACGCCCAACCGACTGAGCCAGCCAGGTGCCCCAGAAACATAATTGATTTTAAAAGAAAGGCCAATTTGGCCAACATTGAACTTGTGAATAGATGTCTGCCAGGAACTCTGATCATGAGAGGAAAAAAGATTTCTATCTAATCTTTAAAGGAACTTTTATGAACTCCTGGGAAGGGAGACAAGTGAAAATAAAACTGTTAAAATAAAATGCCTTAAACCTTATAAGGGGTGCCTGGCTGCACAGTTGGTGGAGCATGCGACTCTTGATCTCACAGTTGTGAGTTAGAGTCCCACATTGGGCATGGAGCCTACTTAAACCTTGTAACATGAAGTTTTCAAAAATTGCATTAGAGTAGATAATTTTCAGTTGATGTCCCTTGACAGAGTTATACAGCAAGAGTATGTATACGTGTTTATTTGGAAGGTCTGTTTCTTTACATTTTATGTATGATCACATAGTACTTCAAGATAATGTGGCTCATGTAAAGTTTAATGATTTGACTTCGGCAATTTTGAATCTAACTTCATCAAAGTTGTACTTTGGAAATTGTACTTTGATGTTACAGTTTGATGTTCTCAGTTGTGGGAGTGGGAGATAGGTATGGGTAGTGAGCAGGATATAAGTTTGAAAAGATTTGTGTGATTATTCTTCTCATTTACTGATCTGAAGAGCTTCTCTTACAAAATAAAACCAGCCAATGTAACTAACAAAACCCAAACCCACTGATTTGACTCAGGATCTAGAAGAGGTCAGCCTGGCACAGATGTGACAGATTTACCAATTTAAAAATAATCCCAGGGGCTCAAATAGTCTTAAAAAGACTTTCATTTGTGCATGTCAGTATACATTTATTTATACTTCCTCCCTGGACCCTGCCAAAATGACAACCAATGCATAAAGAATATAAAAAAGAGAAAGTACAGAAGACTCAGAGTGAAGATGGGGACTAAGGCAGAGAGCTAAAAACAGGAGATCAGTTTGAAATTCTCCAAGTGCCTTTTCTGTTTCTTGAGGCCAGATCATTAGCCCTTTTTTAACCCTGTAGAATATCAGAAATCTCATCTTATAGACAAGAGTGGAGGGCGGAATTAAGGCTTACACTGAAAACAGAGTGATTAAGGTCAAGTCATTGTCCTGAAGGGTAAGCCTCTAGCCTTAATTCCACTTTCTTAGAATGCCTGTAGAGAGGTATCTCCCTGCCCTCACTCTATAAGTAAGAAGATTGAAGAGTTGTAGAGAAGCTGACTGGTCCCAGGGAGATCCCAATGGTACAGAGTATTCTTCTTCTTCTTCTTCTTCTCCTCCTTCTCCTCCTCCTTCTTCTTCCTCTTCTTCCCTTTCCCCCTCTCCCTCCTCCCTTCTCCTTCCTTCTTCCTTTTCTTTTTTTTTTTTTTTTTAAGTAGGCTCCATACCCAGCGTGGGAGTCCAATCCAGGGCCCCAACTCCATCCTGGGATCAGGACCTGAGCTGAGATTAAGAGTCTGATGCTAAACTAACTGAGCCACCCAGGTGCCCCTAGTACAGAGTATTTTTTTTTTTAATTCATTTATTTGAGAGAGAGAGTGAGTGAGAGAGAGAGAGACCAGGAGCCTGGGGGAAGGGCAGAGGGAGAGGGAGAACCAGACTCCCTGCCGAGCAGGAACCCCAGTGTGGGACTTGATCCCAGAACCCTGGGATCATGACCTAAGCCGAAGGCAGATGCTCAGCCAACTGAGCCACCCAGGTGCCCAGTACAGAGTGTTCTTAACTAAACTCTTCATTTACTGGTAGAGTTTTCTGACTGCTGGTCATCATTTCATCACCCTACAGTGAGGGCCATCATTTGATAAATCCTATCAATGCCCATGGAGCTTCTAGACCTTTAATTTCTTCAGTCTTAATATAAATGGACAGTCAGGAATTGCTAGATACTTGGGAAAAGTCTTCAGTAGGAAAGGCACAGACCAAACCAACAGAGAAAGTGGTCTCAGCAAAACAATGATAATGTTGGATGCTGAAGAAAATTTCCAAAGACCATAGAAAATGACAACAAAATACCTTAAATAGAACATTTTAAAATAAAGTCAATGAATCTATCAGAAAGTGAAACAAAAGGTCAAAGAGGTGCTTAATATAAAAGATAAGGTACAAAAATCAGAAAATAAATAGGACAGCTACCACCCATCTAATAGTGGTAACAGGAAGAGAGTCCAGAAAATGCGAAGTTTTTTTTTTTTAAAGATTTTATTTACTTGACAGAGAGAGCACAAGCAGAGGGAGAGAGAGGGAGAAGCAGGCTTCCTGCTGAGCAAGGAGCCCGATGTGAGACTCGATCCCAGGACACTGGGATCATGACCCTGGCCGAAGGCAGCCGCTTAACCGACTGAGCCACCCAGGTGTCCCGGGAAGTTTTTTTTTTTTTTAAGATTTATTTATTTATTTGAGAGAGAGAGAGATTGAGTTTGCATGCAGTGCAGTGGAGGAAGGGGAGGGGGAGAGGGGAAGCAGACCCCTTGGTGAGTGGGGAGCCTGATGCGGGGCTCAATCCTGTGATCACGACCTGAGCCAAAACCAAAACCCAAGAGTTGGCCACTTAACTGACTGGGCCACCTGGGTGCCCCCAATATGGGAAGATTTTGTCAAATAACACCAGACAGTGTTTCAGAGGAAGGACTTCACCTTCTAGAGTAAAATTGCCTACCAGCTGCTCAGCACAATGAGTTATGTTAAAGAAGGGTGGGGTAAAGAGATAAACACAACAGTGCCCATAATCAAGAAATTTGAGGGTGTTTAAGGAGAATTCTGAAAGCTTCCACAGGTTTGGGGGCCAGAGAGGAGGCAAGGGGAAGATCATATAAAAGGTTTAGGAATTAAAGTAGCTTCTTTAGGCTTTTCAGTTGTAACACTGGACTCTGGAGGCTGGAAGATAATAGAAGAATGTCTTCAAATTGAGAGGAAATTTATTCTCAGCTGAACTTAAAAAATGTGGTGATAGAATAAGAATGTTCTTAAATTTTTTTTTTTTAGATTATTTATTTATTTCTTTGACAGAGAGGGAACACAAGCAGGGGAGTGGGAGAGGGAGAAGCAGGCTTCCCGCAGAGCAGGGAGCCCGATGTGGGGCTCGATCCCAGGACCCTGGGATCATGACCTGAGCCGAAGGCAGATGCTTAACAACTGAGCCACCCAGGCGCCCTGTTTTCAGATATTTCAAGTCTCAAAATGTGTATCCCACACAGCTTTTCTTAGATACTTGCAGATATTTTATTCCAAGATAAGACAATAGATAAGGAAAAGGAAGACTTAAAACCTGGAGTTCTAACCTGGAGAATGGTGCAAAGAATCCCCAGGATAGAGGTGAAGAGAAGTTCCTGGATACGAGTCATGGAGTAGGCCTACAAATCAACCAACTCAAACTAGAAAGAAAAGGAGAACAAGACTCAAGAAAGAGACCTTCAGTAATGTGGAAGGAATAGCTTACTTGCTCATTTAATCATATAAAAAATACCAAAATAAATAAAAAAGAAGTTATAAACTTTTTAAAAGATAAACAGGAAAATAAATATATTTGATTTATATAGGCTATGGAATCAACATCCTACCTCTTGCCTCTCTACCTTCTAATATCTGCTCACCAGTTACTTGGGGACCTAGGCAGATGGAAGCTGCATCTCAGTCTGTGCACAGTGCCCTAGCAGGGCCAGAGGAATAGCACATTATTTTCATTTGGAAGTGACACAGTACTGCTCATATTTATCAGCCAAAACAAGTCATGCCTGACTTCAAAATGGGAGAGAAGGGCAGGGAAATACATTCCTGTTATGTGCCTGCAAGAAGTGGGATGCTTCCCCGCATTGGGCTCCCTGCTCAGCGGGAAGCCTGCTTCTCCCTCTCCCACTCTCCCTGCTTGTGTTCCCTCTCTCCCTGTCTCTCTCTCTGTCAAATAAATAAATAAAAAAATCTTCAAAAAAAATTAAAAAAAAAAAAAGTGGGATGCTTGTGAACTGTTCTAGTGACTAGTACTTTGTTCAGCAGTGAGGAATCATAAAGTAAAAAGAATACTGGCAACTTTTGTTTTAACTATATTGTAACAATGGGGAGGGGAGGAATGGGTAGTAGGAGTGGCCAAACTACAAGCTGTCACAATAGACGATGTATGAAACTGATCAGTGAAAAAGTAGCAGTATAAATGTATTTAAGAATATGGAGATAAGTACCAAGGAACAGCCAAAAGAATTAAAATTGGTTTGGCTCTGTGGAGTAGGACTAGAGGTGAGAGAGTTTGGGCAGGCAACTGCAGTTTTTCATTGTAAGCTTTTGTGTAATGCTAGGGTAAAAAGTAAAAGGTTCTGATACCCATAATTGCAAGGTGGTTATGAGAATTAAATGAGATCACATACATTTGTACATATAATAGCAACTAATGGAAAGCCTGAACGACTGCTTGTGGGCTGATGATAGATCTCTTTCCTTTTCCTGTTAGGTTGTAAGCCTCTCCCCTTACAGTGCCTAATCCAGGGCTTCGTATAGCATTGCCTTCAGTGTGTGGAGGTGAGGGTGGGAAGTAGATGCTGTGTTCTCTAGAGGGTAAAGAAAGCTTCCACAAATGAGGTTTTAATCTTCAGAGTTCAAGTGCCACTCAAAGCCTTATTTAGGCTTGAGTAACTTCGCTGGGGATTATGAGAAATGCATGCCATGTATTGTTGGACTCCAGTGGCAGATAGGTATAAGTTGAAATTAACTTGAATTTATTTGCTGTTTTTTCTTTTTAGGACGGACCAGAGATTTGTTTTATGAAGGGTGCTTATGAACAAGTGATTAAGTATTGTACTACATACTACAGCAAAGGGCAAACCTTGACACTTACCCAGCAACAGAGAGATCTCTACCAACAAGAGAAGGCACGAATGGGCTCTGCAGGACTTCGAGGTAAGGCCATTTCAGCATAGTCCCCTAGGGTGGAAAGGTAATGCTTTTTTCTTTTCCTTTCTTTTCCTTCCCCTTCCCGTTCTTTTCCCTCCCTCCATCTCTTCTCTTTCTTTCTTTCTTTCTTTCTTTGTTTCATTGAAGTAGAGTTGACATACAATGTTATATTAGTTTCAGGTATACAACATATTGATTTGACAAGTCTATACATTGCTCTGTGCTCACCATTTATAGTGTGGTCACTGTCTGTCACCATATAGCATTATTACAATATATTCCCTATGCTGTACTTTTCATCCTCATGACCTTTTTATTTTATAAGTGGAAATTGGTCCCTCTTTATCCCATTCACCTATTTCACCCATCCCTGCACACTCCTCAGTGATGCCTCCCTTTAATTTTAGATGATTTCGTGCTTCATATCTGAGCTGTGCAACTCTATCCCAGGCTTTGTAGAATACTGCCATTTCTGAAGTGTTATGTTTTAGTCGGCTGTTTGGCCCCCAAAACACAAGAAGTCAGGAATGTAGCAAAATGTGAAATTTCTATTTCTTACAGACCTGCATTGGTCTCTGAGTAGGTGATAGAAATTTTATTTTAGACAAGTTTTTCTTGTGAGAAGGGAAATGGAGGAAGGTAAAACGGTATTACTCCTTTCTTATTTCATCATTTGGACTGTCTTATTTATTTATTTATTTATTTTTAAAGATTTTGTTTATTTGACAGAGAGAGATACAGCGAGAGAGGGAACACAAGCAGCGGGAGTGGGAGAGGGAGAAGCAGGCTTCCCGCGGAGCAGGGAGCCCGATGTGGGGCTCGATCCCAGGACCCTGGGATCATGACCTGAGCCGAAGGCAGACGCTTAACGACTGAGCCACCCAGGCGCCCCTGGACTGTCTTATTTATTAATAGATCTAAAGTACTTTCCTAAATATTAATGTTTTAAGCCTCTAATTTGTCCTTTAAACTGAGGTGATCGCTTACTTGTTGCTCTTCTGCTGATCTCCTTCCCTTGTCATTCACCAGAAAGGAAAGAAGTGTCCAGATTCTGCTTTATGTCTGTGTTGCTGACTGAACAGTGATGTGGAGAGAGGGTCTGCTATGCACATACACATTAGGCTGTTTCTCTTAGGGACAGCATGTGTAGGATTGAAAAAGCAGGGGTTGGGGCCATACCTGGTTTTTACCTTCTGGATAGTCATCTGGCTTGTGGGGGATATATATACTTACGTAGTCTCTCTCAAGGAAATTGGAAGAGTTGGCCTCCTTAATCTTATTATTTTTACAGAATAGAAGTCAAGCACAATCCTGGGAGGAGGAAGCAACTTAATATAAAAAATACTCCCCTTATTCATGGTTCACTTAAGCAAGGGCTGTCTGTGGTTTTAACACATTTGGATAGATCTACAGAATTTCTGCTCTTATAATGAGCTAGGTTTAGAAGGATATTCTTGTAGCTTTGAAGGCAGAGTTTTGTTATTCTTAGCAGTTCACAGCAAGAGGGTCCAAAGTTGGCTTGGGTTTAGAGACGCTAAAGAAGTTTCAGAGGTTTCACACTTTTTTTATAAAGGTTTTATTTATTTATTTGACAGAGGCACAGTGAGAGAAAGGGAACAGGAGCAGGGGGAGCGGGAGAGGGAGAAGCAGACTCCCCGCTGAGCAGGGAGCCCGATGTGGGGCTCGATCCCAGGACCCTGGGATCATGATCTAAGCCGAAGGCAGACGCTTAATGACTGAGCCACCCAGGCGCCCCGTTTTCACACTTTCTTATTTTAACTCTTTTCATCTGAAGGATCATGGAGGTTTGTGTATGTGTGGTGTTGTAACATTGTGAAATAGACCAGAGTTGGTAGAGGATAAAAATCTCCTGTTTCACGGGGCTTTAGGGAAACATTCTGGTCATTTGTTTCTTGCTTCATGTCTTTTCCTTTGGTTAAGCTCCACTTTCTTCCTCCTCCTGAAGTTACCATAATGGGAACAGAAAGACTTCAGATTTAACTTGATATGTACTTAGGTTACATCTTATAAAATATAAGTTTCTTAAATACACATGATTCTTGATTTTGAAATTAGAGTATGTTTTGTTTTTATGTTTTAGTCGGGGACCCTCCTCATGAAAAAGGTCTGCCTAACCTTATCCCAGACAGTAGCAGTAGATTTTCATTTGTGCTAAGGAAGCAAACAAATACATACAGGATACTCTAGGCTACTACCACCTCTCCACTGAGGGTGCCAGGAGCTGCTGTCCCTTTCTTAGGGTTTGCTGACACACGAATTTATACTCGCTATTCCTTTCTGTAGTCCTCTCTCTGTTCTGACACCAGGGACTATCAAGTGTCTCATTCTCTCCAGGGTGAAAGCCTTTGGGGCTCACATTTACATAAATAGTTAGGTATATGACTCTGACATTGGGAAAATAGAAGTCATTTGCCTCTAACCTTGGTTTTCCAAATATATTTAATCCTTCAAACCTTCTGCTTGAATAAGAATGGATATTGCTTATAATCTGGTTATGACTTTTCAGTTTCTCCATGAGATACATATATTTAGTTAGTGTGCTTTTTTGTGTTTTCTCTGGTAAATTGTTCAGTCCAATAATATTCCAGATGGACACACATCCCTTTAACTCATTAGGTAGTTATCAGAAGTTCCGAATTCTGAGAATAAGTTAAATGATATTTGGAAATGAACAGTATTTTGTGTTATATCTTAAGTGCTCGAGGATGATGGGAAACTCCCAATAATGATACGGTGGTGTTAGATATTATTAGAGAACCAAAGTTACAAATAAGAAATACTTATTAATGTTATGAAAAGAGTAAAAGAATCCAAATTACTGTTACTAATGGTTGTGCAGTAACTTTACAGATTAATTTACCTCCCAGGGTTTGTCATGTACAAAATTGTTACATGTCGTGTATAATTAATCAATATAGCCTTCTCTTCAAGCTATTGAATTGTTCTGGAGACCTATAAAATGGAAAGATGAAGATACATTCGTAGCAACCCCCTTCAGAGGTGTCTGTTTAAAACTGACTTTCAAAGCTCAACAAACCCATAGTTCTCCAAATACCTAATTATTTTTTCTAAAGAGCTAATAGTTGATGTTTAGAAGAGCTGCGTGTAGTCACGTTGTAAAAACATTCTTTATTCACTCCTTACTTGCCTTCTCTGCTTAACAGTTCTTTAGTCTTATTCCTTTTAATTTTTAATAGCTTTCAGCAATCCCATATTAGAACCATTAAACTAATGTCTTAACATATAATACATTTTTATATATAATGATTATATCCTAACTACAATGACATTATAGTCTTAAGTGATTCTTTGTCTCTAGCTTTTGTCAAGTAACCTGTAATGCTGTAATGCTTTTGTGACTTACGTTTTCTTTTTTTGGATTTTATTATTTCCTCAGTTCTTGCTTTAGCTTCTGGTCCTGAACTGGGACAGCTGACATTTCTTGGCCTGGTGGGAATCATTGATCCTCCTAGAACTGGTGTGAAAGAAGCTGTTACAACACTCATTGCCTCAGGAGTATCGATAAAAATGATTACTGGAGACTCACAGGAGACTGCAGTTGCAATCGGTATAACTAGGCTGGTCCCCCCCCCTTTAATAGTTTTAAATTAATTGCAGTGCATAGCTTTGAACCATTAGATATAAAATGTATACGTATAATATTGACATTATACAATTAAAATGGACTCTTTTATTCATACTGTATATAAAAATGTGGGTAAAAATTTATTTTAGGTTAAAAAGTAGTTCTATTAATTGAAAATACATAACTAAACTATTAGGAAATCACATGTTTTATTCACAGAAGAATAGTTGATTATTTTTAACCTCATAATCCACTATGCTATTGGATAAAAGCACTAGATTATACACATGAAACATGAAATTTAGTTTTCCCTTTAAACTTGAGGATAATTTTCAAAGCAGACTTTGATTTGTACCTGATTTGGAAGAAAATAGCTTGTGTCTATATTCTGTTATTACATCACGTATATGCTTATGTTGTCTGAATGCCATTTAAGAATACCCTAAGGAATATAACAGGAGAGACTCCTGGGTGGCTCAGTTGGTTAGGCATCTGACTCTTGATTTTGGGTCAGGTCATGATCTCAGGGTGATGGGATTGAGCCCCACATCAGGCTCTGTGCTGGGCATGGAGCCTGCTTGGGATTCTCATTCTCCTTTTCCCTCTGCAGACCCCCCCCCCCAATATATTTATGGGAAAAAAGGGCACCAAAAGGTAATCTGGAGTTTGTAAACTGTTGTGAACTGTGATTCATACTGATAAACAGTTTACTAAAGTCCATTAATTCTGATTTTATTACTGTGCGGAGAGACGGATAGGAGTTTCACACTTTATGTTATCTAAGAAGAATATGTCACCAGAAACATAACGTTGGGAAGATTATACCTAGAAAAGCTTTTCAACATCTGTTTTCTTTTACATATAACTACATGATTACCACAGATCCACCACTGTTTTGTCTGGCTTTAGATTCTTTACTTAAAATGAATTCTGATCTTTATTAAAATTGAGCTACTAAGCAAAACCTGATTGGCCCTATATCAGTTCTTAGGTATGGTGGTGGGTTAAATTGTGAAAACTCTTTATTCTTAAATTTAAACAAAAATAAACAGAAAACCCCAGAATTTTTACTAATTCAAATAGGTTTGTCTTACTAGTAATTTGTCTTGTGATCTCTTGGTATAAAGACATTTTGTACTTAAGAATGGATAACAAATCATATTAAGTGAGCATTATGTTGACTGGCCTAGCAAGCAAAACTAATTTGTTCAATTATGTTTTCTCTCCCATTTCACTTTAGCTAGTCGTCTGGGATTGTATTCCAAAACTTCCCAGTCAGTCTCAGGAGAAGAAATAGATGCAATGGATGTCCAGCAGCTTTCACAAATAGTACCAAAGGTAGGCCTAAACTTAAAGCCTTTTAGATGGAAAGGCCTTATTCTAAGTGTTTATGAATTCTTCCAGTGTGTCCTATATTCCTAGTGATAAAAGTGGACCTTCTGTTTTCTTCTTTATTTTTTTATAGTAGTACCTCCAATTGTATTTCTACCAAACCTATTAACCAAATCTCTATAATTTAATCCCAGTCTGTGTGCTGTTTAATTTTTGGTTGGTTGTAAATATTTTATTTAAGTCACCTATTTTTTTTTTTTTTTCCCTGAAATGTATCAGGTATCTTATTATCTTTCCTGGAAGATTGGGGAAACTGTAGCAGGTTATTTTATTTTATTTTATTTTATTTTATTTATTTATTTTTTTTAAAGATTTTATTTATTTATTTGAGAGAGAGAATGAGAGAGAGAGCACATGAGAGGGGGGAGGGTCAGAGGGAGAAGCAGACTCCCTGCCGAGCAGGGAGCCCGATGCGGGACTCGATCCAGGGACTCCAGGATCATGACCTGAGCCGAAGGCAGTCGCTTAACCAACTGAGCCACCCAGGCGCCCAGCAGGTTATTTTAATGCCAGGAACGTTTTTCATTAACCTCTCCTTTAATATTTTCCTGTTTTCTTCTTTTTAACACCCTTGTCTATCAGAACTCTGAGTGCTAACCACAAATATGACACTGAAAAGAAGGCATGATAAGAGACAAATACATAGATTTTTCTCCCTCCTTTTGATGATTCTCATCTTTCCCATGTTATTCCCTAAACACTCTCCTTTTCTGACAAAGTTCTACTTCTTTTTTCACTGTCCTTTTACCATCCTGTCTTCATTCTGTCCTCTCCCCTCTTGCTCCCAAACTACAGAGATTTTATTGTGTGCTTTTACCTTTAATCAATATATTCTTTTTTTCTAGGTAGAGAAACATGATAAAGGTGAAAAGATTATGAATAGAGGAAATTCAGTTACCCCCAAGTTTAATCCTAACTCTCACTGTGATACAGTGATGTAGCTCAGTCTTTAGTCCTTTCTGTTTTTTTGTTTGTTTTAAATCTCATTTCTTTAGGCCATAATTTTGTGTCACTAAATTTAGTGTTTTTAGTCAACTAAAAAGATTGACCTACCCTTCTGATGCTTTAAGAACAGATTTTACTCTGTACCACATGCAAAACATCAAGTGAGTCTTCAGTTTTGCATTGAGATCTCCTTAGTCTCAAAACTGCTGCTCTAATTTTTGAGCTGCCACCAAAGCTTTGAAACGCTAAAAATCTTACATCAAATGGTAGGTATATGGATGCATGTCAAGTAATTTGTTCCTTTACAAAAGAAATACGCTTTCAGTCCAACAGTTGGCATCTTCACTGCCATTGTCAGTGATAACCTTCAGTGACTATAATGGAATGATTTGCAGTGTTTCAAATGATCTGCAGTGGAACAAAGGCAAAATTTTACTCTGTTCAACCTGAGTATATTGGTAGTTAGCCTTTTATTTAAATATTCTGTAAAATCCACAGTCTTTGCTAAACACTCTTGTACTTTAGCACTGTGTGCTACATGATTAATTTCTGCAGTAATGTAGAATTTTCACTTAGAAGACAACTAGTATACTTTCAGTGCATATGTAGTTTAGTCCTTTTTAAAGACACACTAAAGAGTCTGAGTGAATTTTTGAACTTTTTTTTAGAGGAAGTATATTCTCCAAATACGAATTATGTGATTCATAGTACCTAGAGGACCTGGGCATATGTAATAATGTGATATTGCAGTTAAATTGAGTCTTTTGCTTAAGAAAATAATCCTCATTTGTTTTAGACCTTTATTAAAATTGGGAAGGAGCCTCAGAACAGTCTATATGATGGTACTAAGAGTCGTTCAATGATTTATTAATTCATTTTGTATGTATTTATGGAAGACTGAAGGTATAGCACAAAAATCTCTGCCTTCAATGGAACTTATAGTCTAAGATAAGTAAATATGTACATTATGTCAGATAAGTGCTAATGAGCACCAACAAAAGCAGAGAAGAGAGAGTGGAATGATTGAAGAGGTAGATTGAAATTTTTAGATAACATGACTAGGAAAGGCCTCACTGGCAGGCCATATCATATCTGAGAAAAGAGCACTCCAGACCAAGGGAACACAAAGGCAAAGACCTTAAGGTGAGTGTGCATGGCATGTTTCAGGAACAATGAGGAGGCTGGTGTAGGTGTAGTTCGGGTAACTAATGAGGAGGAAGGGGCATGCAGTTCATGCAGGACTTGGTAGGTAGTAACAGACTTTGGCATTCATTCTGAGGGAGATAGGAAGTCATTGGAGGGTTTTGAGCAGAGGATGGATGTGATCTGACTTCTATTTTAATAGTTTCATTATGGTCACTGTGTTGAGAAGAGACTGCAGGAGGCAAGGGCAGAAATAAATCAGTTCAGGTATTGGCCCAGAGTGTTGGCAGTGGGCTTAGAGGAAGGTGGTTGAATTCTGGATTTATTTGAGGTTGGAGCCAATGAGATTTGCTGTTAAGCTTCTTGTGGCTTCTGAGAGAAAAGGAGGAATCAAGGATGACTCCCCAAATTTAGAGCCTGAGTGACTACGAGGATGTGCTTACCATTAGCAGAGGATATGAAGGAGCATGTATTTTGGGAAATAATGGGTTCACTTTGTGATATTTTTAAGTCTTAGATGAGACATCCAAGAGGAAATGTGGAATAGGTAGGTGGATTAATTTCATTGGTCTGGATTTTAGAAGAGATATTGGGGCTGGAGACAAAAATGCATAACAATAAAATCTAAATCTGTAAGGCTGGATGAGATCACCTAGGGAGAAGTAGGGGATTCTTAGACCTCTTATAGAGGGACCTTTAAGAACTAAGTTGTGGAATATTTCAGCATTCAGACTTCAGGGAGGTCGGGAAGAACCTCTACAAGAGGAGCAGCCAGAAAGGTAGGAGGAAGGAAGACCAAAAGAGTATAGGGTGGTCATGGAAGTCAAGCAAAGAAAGTGTTTCAGGAGGAGGGAATTGCCAGCTCTGTTAGGGTGCTGCTGAGAGGTTAAGTCAGAAGAGAAATGACCATTGGTGTTAGCAATGTGGGTGGTCTTTGGTAATCTTGAATAGGGGTTTCAGGGCAGTGGTGGGGATGGATTCAAGAAAGAAGAGAGAAATGGGAGACTGCAAGTACAGAGGAGTTTTGCTATGAAGAGAAGGGGAAAAGTAGGGTGGCAGCCAAAATGAGAAGGGAAATTTTTAGTTTTGTTTTTATTTAAATGGAAAAAATCACAGCATGTTATATACTGTTGGGAAAGATGCATCAGCAAGGAAAAGATTTTGATATAAGAGAGGGGAGAATTTCTGGAACAATGATCTTAAATAGGTCCAAAGGTGGAATATTTGACCTGCACTAGGAGCATATTCAGTTCATCTGTAATAAAAGGAGAGAAGGCAAGGATTGTGCTTGGATACAGGTACTGGTTGGTGGGAATTATGGAAGTTCTCGTCTTCTTCTGTTTTCTTTGAAGTGGGAAGCAAGGTTGTCAGCTGGGACTGAGGTTGGAAATGGGGATAAATTGAAAGTATGAGGAGAGAAAACTTAGCATGAACTCATCCTCTAGGACAGTAGAGAAGAGAATGATGTATTATGCAGATACTAAAATCACCATGACTTAGAAGTGTTGTTGGAAAGAGTGACAGTGAGGAGGAAATTAAATAAGTCACAGGGATGAAAAGTACAGCATAAAGAAAATAGTCAATAGTATTATAATAATGTTGTATGGTGACAGATGGTAACTACACATATCATGGTGAACATTGTGTAATGTACAAAACTGTTGAATCACTCTGTTGTACACATGAAACTAATACAATGTCACATTCGTTTAAAAAAATCTGAAAAAAATTTTGTGAAATGTGGGGAAGTGACCTAGAGCAGTGAATGAATGCCTATAGTTAGTGGGAAGTCTGGTCTCATGTGACATTCAAAACTGGGGTTTTGTGAATAAAGAAAGGAGAATCAAGGTCACCTACCCCTGTCTAGGCTCTCCTGGTGGTGGTACTATGTGAAGGACTGTAGGGATGGCCTTGGTTTGTGAAAAATGAGGTTAGAACAATGTGGAAAAGTGGAGGATACAGGGGATGTTGTAGATGCCTGCCTTTGGGGCACAGTGAAGGGGTATTAGGAGACCAGGAGATGGGATCAGAAAAGGGGATTAAATGCATGGTTTGGAGAGATAAATCATATAAACTGTTGGAGATACAGTAGAAGAGAATCTAAAGAATTAACACGAATATTAAAAGAGAAGGAACAGACAGTTAACACTCTTTAAAAACAACAATAAAAAGGTTCTACAGACATTGAGAAGCAGCTCTTCTTTATCTTTCCTGAAGACAGAACAAAGGGAGAGGCCATTTTTGTTGTTTGCCAGTGTAATGAAGAAATAGATGCAAGAGAGTTTTTCCTTTCTCTGTCTCTGAAACATTTCAAGAATAAGGCTGTTTTCTCTTCAGAACTTAAACATAATGGCATAAATTGGATAACATGTTTAGATTGTGTATTTCCTGTGGTACCACTGGAAAGTTTGAAGTGACCATGTCAAATGAATATCTTAACAGACACATGGTATATTGCTTAAACTTGATCTCTACAAAGTAAGTACAGTAATTTAAAAAATTATTGTTACAAGTGCATGGGTTATTCTGATATTTCTTATTGTTGAAGATTTTTAGTGTATCCTGTATTTTAACAGGTTGCAGTATTTTACAGAGCTAGTCCGAGGCACAAGATGAAAATTATTAAGGTGGGTCTTTAAGATTCACATTGTTTTATCTCTGTCTCCAAAATGCTACTTTACGTCTTTCATTATGCTTACATTACTAGGAATATTGATGTAATATTAAAGTCGGAAGTATTGTGAAGCAAAAGAGATTTTTTTTTTATAGAACTTTACATGGAAGTATTAATAGAGAATTTAGTTAGCAAAGGAAGATGTAGAAGAAAATGTTAATGAGGTATCTGCAACACAACCTTCTTTAAACAATTAAACAGTGTAGACATATGTTCTGACAGGAGTCCATAACCAAATCATCCCAGTGTAAATAGCAGTAATTGCTTAGAAACTGAGTAAATACAGCAAGAAAAGGAAATGTTATGAGAGTGGGAACAGTATTTCAAAGGTTTTGGTTATTTATATTAATCAGTTAAATATATACAAAGCAACTGATGTAGTATCCATTAGTTAAAGGGCTTAATCACAGTAGTCCTCCATTGTATTAGTTTAGAGTTTCTCAACCTTCACAACTATTGACATTTTGACATTTTGGACTGGATTCTTTGTTGTGAGGGGCTGTCCTATGTGTTGTAGGATGTTTAGCAGCATCCCTGACCCCTACCCTCTAGATGCCAGTAGCATTCCCGAGGTCATAATAATAAAAAATATCGCCAGACATTGCCTGATGTCCCCTACAAAGCAAAATTGCCCCTGAGAGCTACTGTATAATTAACTCGAGATCAGTCTTTAGACATAGCTCTTACACATGAGAATATTAATAGCAACTTTTTCTAAGCTTTATCTTAAGACCTCCATATATTGAAGTTTGTTGCAAAATCAGTGGTCTGTATTCTTTCCAGTCTTTATTATGTGAAAAAAAAATAGAGAGTTGTTTATCCCCTTATCTTTGTGGAAGCAATATTTTTACCAGAATCCCCTTTTCCCCCATTCCAGTCTCTACAAAAGAATGGGTCGGTTGTAGCCATGACGGGAGATGGAGTCAATGATGCAGTTGCTCTGAAGGCTGCAGACATTGGAGTTGCAATGGGTCAGACTGGCACAGATGTTTGCAAAGAGGCAGCAGACATGATCCTCGTGGATGATGATTTCCAAACCATAATGTAAGTTTTGTTTCAGTGAATGTACATCAGAGAATCTTTTCCTGTCTTCTTCTGCACCCCATCTCCAGACAGTTCAACTGGAAAAGAATTGGGATATTCAGTGTATTAGGATATTCAGCAGTGGATGAACTAAACTATTTTACCAGAATTAATTAATCTTATTTATGGCCTACCATGTAGTTTTGGAGAATATTATTTGTATGGAAAGGACATAATAAATGGCAAAGTCATTCATTTAACAAATATTTACCGAGTGCAGCCAGATGTCACATTTTTCTGGCCACCAGTGGAGTGGTACAGCAGTAAACCTTCATGGGGCCTTTATTCTAGTTGAACTCAGGCTATCAGAAATATGCATGTGCATGGCCTTACAGTAAGTATAAAAATAGTCAAGTTTCCATCCATACTATGTATTTCCTTATGTCTGTAATTGTCCATGCTGTCAGTGATACAAGCTACTAAGTTTAAATAGCTTTGTCTCCTTCCGCCACTGTTTCTGATTGATGTAAGATTCTTCTGTGATTACATGGTCATGTCAGTAGTAGTTCAGGTGGGGGGTCACTTGAATCTTGTTATTTGATAAGCACGTGTCTGATAACCTGGGTCTTCCTCAGTTCAGTGACTCATGCTGATTACATGCCTGGCATACTTCATTAACCCATGGTGGCCTAAAGTGGAGCATGTGGGAGCTCAGGACTCAGAATTGCCATGGTCTTGTAGGCATATACGTTTTTTGCTTTCCATTCTTAGAATTATATAGAAATCTTGAAAGAAAGGGGAAGTTGTTTAAAAAACACATATTTTCTAGATTCAACCAGATGAGAATTTATTTTTTAAAGATTTTATTTATTTGTTTGAGAGAGAGAGAGAGCATGAGCAGCAGGGAGGGGCAGAGGGAGGGGGAGAAGCAAACTCCCTGCTGAGCAAGGAGCCTGCCCCCCGGACTCGATCCCAGGACTCGATTCCAGGACTCTGGGTTTATGACCTGAGCTGAAGGCAGATGCATAACCGACTGAGCCACTCAGGTCCCCCAGATGAGAATTTAAATGAATTTTTGTAAACCATATTCTTTATGTAATTCTGCTACAGCACATATCTGATTGTAGTGTTAAGCAATAGATAGCTTAAACTCCAGAGCTCATATATATCTTATTACCATTTAATTCCTGACATACATTAATTTAACCCCTTACCATGCATGCATTTTGTACCTTTTAGAAAAAGAAAATTGGAGGGGTAAAGAAGATCATTATTTTAGTATTATAAATGTGTAGTATTATCTGTTGTGTAGAAAGACAGTGTATGATTTTAATGTTGAAATATCTTTAAGAATTTTAATATAGTGTAATGAAATTAGTTCAGATAGAGCTTCACAGGCTTGGCTTTCATTCCATACCAGAATGTTTTTGTATTTTTTTCTAATCTTAATTATGTTAAGAAAATAATAGATTCTTTTAGTGATGTATATGTTATATCAGTTGGAAATTTGTTTTCAGAATTAGCTCTACAGTGTTATAGGATAGATCTTTATTTTTGTGTGATAATATTTCTCATTTAATTTTTTTTTAAATTTCAGGTCTGCAATTGAAGAGGGTAAAGGGATTTATAATAACATTAAAAATTTTGTTAGATTCCAACTGAGCACGTAAGTTTGTAAGAAGTTTGTCACCATGGGTCTTATAGATAAATTATATGAGAAATAGAATTCAAGCAGAATGCTTAGAAGCTTCTGAGCTCTATTTCTGAATGTTGTTCATGTTAGTTTTCCATAATGAAAATTAATTCTATCCTAAAATTAAAAATGGCATGATAAGGAGATGATGTCTGTATCATCATCAAAATATATAAATGTTTGTGGTTTATTTACTAGCTCCAGAAATAACTAAGGAAGGAGTGTCAGATCTTAGTGTGTTTCCTTGGTGTCTTTTTCCAAAAGTAGAAGGGCTTTTCTGTAGTCAAAAAACATTTGCCAAAATATTGTTGAAACTGTTAACTGTTATGTAGTAACAGCTATTCTGAACTCAGTTTTTAAAACCTTCCTCTGTTTGTTGTTATCTAAACATCTTGAAATCCTTTATTTAAATGCTACGGATTATAAAGTTTAACTTTTAGCGTCAAAATTTTCACACAAATGAAGCATAGATACTCATAAATACAGACTTCCTTTAAAAGCACAGTAGTAAAATGAGATTTTCAAATGCTAAAGAAGTGATATCATAAAAGTAGTAAGAATTATAATATATAAAAGTAGTAAGAATTATATAAAAGATACATTATCTTTTTTTCAACAGGAGTATAGCAGCATTAACTTTAATCTCATTGGCTACATTAATGAACTTTCCTAATCCTCTCAATGCCATGCAGATTTTGTGGATCAATATAATTATGGATGGACCTCCAGCTCAGAGGTAAGAGTTTTTTTTATCCATAAACTAGTAGAAGGACAAAGAAAGTGTGATATCTTGATGATTAAGTTTTATGATTTCATTCATGGATAGCACTAGAAATCTATTCATGCAGCGACATGTTTGTTATAAATTGTGTGATGGCTGTGTATATCATTTATGCTCTTTGGGTGTTTTTTCACGTGTCATAGATCTAAGCTTTTACGTTATGTTAGATGCTCATTCATAAGTTGAGAACAGATGAGGGAATGAATAGGTGCAGTCCCTGTCCTCAGGAAATAAGCTTTTGTCTCTAAGAATGGGATGTAATGGAGAAATCCTGAGTTTAGTTTTATTATCTGGGTTCTGTTGTCAATTTTAGAGACTTTGGGAAAGTATTGGAGGATCTAAGCATCTAAGTATTTTCTTCTGTAATGGGCCACAGATGTTGCTTTCCAGCAGAAAGAGTAATTGAGTGATATATGTCAATGGTCATTATAACAAATCATCCTAGTCAAAACCTCCTTGCATGAAAGGTATTTCAGAGTTTACTCAGTAGGTTACTATTTCAGGCCATATTTGAAATAAGTAAACTTACATGTAAATGAAATTGGACAATTTTTTTCAATTTGACTATCAGTCTCCCATCAAACTATGCCAAGTAGGAGTAAGAAGGGGAGAGTAATAAAATCCATGGTTATTTTCGAGTATTTATAGCCAACCTTTTCTTTAGGATTCAGCATTTTGTTTCCATAAGAAAGCATTTAATTTCCTGGATAATTGAGGTTAATGAGATTGTAAAAGTAACAAATCCAAACCTTAAAACTTTAAAGTAATTCACTTTTCTATTTGTTTTGAAGCCTTGGAGTAGAGCCAGTGGATAAAGATGTCATTCGTAAACCTCCACGCAACTGGAAGGACAGCATTTTGACCAAAAACCTGATACTTAAAATACTTGTTTCATCAATAATCATTGTTTGTGGAACTTTGTTTGTCTTCTGGCGGGAGGTATAGTCACTGCATAAGCTGCCTTAATAGCATGCATTCTGTATGACCCAGTTATTTTGGTGTGTTACATGGAAGCTTGGAAAGTTAGGAGAGCTCATTGGAAAATATGATAATAAAAACATTTAAAAATAGTTTGATTTCAGTCTTTATGGGTTAGAAGAATTGCTGATTCATTTATTAGAATAGTTTAAATCTGCAAAGATATCAGCACAATAAAAATTAATATATTAATATTCATATTTGGGGAGTAATTAGAAAATCTGAGTCTATTGCTACTTTATTTCATCAGAAAAGAAAGTTGTTTTAATATCCAATATATGGTGTGTGAGAAGACTACTTTATTTAGATTATAGCTATTCATTAGTGACTTACTTAAATGGCGTATAGGAAATTTACGTAGCTTATATGTTTTATGTCTTAGGCTAAAGCTGTTTTATTCTAAAGCAAAGAAAATGTTAACCTTTTACAAGCATGCAGTATTTGTTCATTAAATTCAGCCACTGATAATCATTTTTCTTCTTGATAGCTACGAGACAATGTGATAACACCTCGAGACACGACAATGACCTTCACATGCTTTGTGTTTTTCGATATGTTCAATGCACTAAGTTCCAGATCCCAGGTATGCTTAGGTGATCTTAGCTGACTGATTCAATTGATAGAGTTCTCTCTGATTGTAAGTAGGCAAGGATTGTGGGGTTTTAGCTTTGCTTGATTTTGTCATCACAGATTACAGCCCCAGATACAGCCTTCCCTATAAACGTGTACCTACAAACATGTCATAATGGGGATAGGGCATTTGGGCAAATAGCTTTACCTTTGACCAGAAGATCCAATAAATCACAGGTGTCATCGCCTGGTCTTTCTTCTTTCCATTCTCTTACATCTGTAGCTTTAAGATAGGTTCAAGTTAATATTATCTGAGAGTATTGGACAAATGGGTTCTGTTAAGTTGGTATTAGTCTCATTTTAGAAGAAAGTATTGTTAGAAGTACAAGAACAATTTTGTGCATATTAATGGTTTCTGATTCTTTCTGTCAGTGTGTCAGAGCTTAGGACATTTTAAATTTGCTTTTCTTCCCATGTTGTATCTTAAGGTGTGATTGCCTTTTCTTGATTGAAGTGTTTTCATAGAAAATTAATGGGCTGTGGGCTAGAACCTAGTAGAACCTTTTCAGAGCACAATTGTTCTTGAAAAGTAGTTCCATTCTGAGGCCTGACTCTTCATTTCAATTCTAGAGCACCTTATAAATCCTCAATTATATCTATTACCATTTAGCATGCTGGAACTTTCCAAGTCAATGAATTGTCGTTAATTTAGACTAAGTTTTGGAGAGCCTACAATATTCATTTTTTGTTTTATGAAAGGCAATTTTACATTTTTAGTACACACTGAACTAGGTCTATTCTTTAAGAAAGGCTTTTAGATTATCTAACTTAATGGATAGAAATGATTTAGCAAAATAAACACACAAATGAAGTTTCCAGTGTTTTGAAATGCTAAAGTTTCTTTTCATTCTGTGGTCTCTTGTTGATGTTGTTATTGTAGCATCACTCTTGTAGAGAAAGCTTTCTTGATAAAGAGAAACTGCTTTAGGGGCGCCTTGGTGGCTCAGTTGTTAAGCGTCTGCATTCGGCTCAGGTCATGATCCCAGGGTCCTGGGATCGAGCCCCACATCAGGCTCCCTGCTCGGCGGGAAGCCTGCTTCTCCCTCTCCCACTCCCCCTGCTTGTGTTCCCTCTCTCGCTCTCTCTCTCTCTGTCAAAAAATAAATTAAAAAAAAAAAGAAGCTGCTTTAAATTGAACCTTTATTCCGTCTGAATTATTCCAAAATAATAGTCAAACCATTAAGAGATTTCATGGTATTGCCATTTTGGCATTCAATCCAGTTTATTAAAAATTGGAGATGACTATGATAATAAAGAAGCTGTTTCAGTAACCAAGGAATAGTAATTGAACTCTTTGCTCTGCCAACAGACCAAGTCTGTATTTGAGATTGGACTCTGCAGTAATAAAATGTTTTGCTACGCAGTTCTTGGATCCATCATGGGACAGTTATTAGTTATTTACTTTCCTCCACTTCAGAAAGTTTTTCAGACTGAGAGCCTAAGTATACTGGGTAAAGAAAATGTTATCTTTTTATAATTTATATATTTTAGATGAATTATTGTATTTTCTAATGCATTTGTTCTACTAAAAATTTCCTTTTAAAAAGTGAGATAAAAAAGTGAGTTGATTTGAAAAAGGAGTGTATTCTATTTTATCGTTTGGAGAAGTTTGCTGGGGTGGTCACTTGCTTAATGCTAGGCTTTAAAATTTTTTTGTAATTTTTTTTTCTTGCAATATTTTTTCTTGGTTATAGCTGTCAAATTGTTGTTGCTGATTCTAAACTATAGCAAATGAAAACGTGTTATAGAGTAACTATAACTTTTCAGTCTTACATGAAGAAAAAACTAGATTTAAGCTCACTGAAAACCAGGTTGCTCTTCTTTAAAATTACAATTTCAGTAAACTAATATTTCAATATTTTTACTTGCTAATTTGTGCATTCTTATTTTACAAAATAACAGCCTGACCCTAAAAGCAGAAAATACATTAAGATTACATGGAAGATAGACATTGTTCTTTCACATACTATGTATTAAATGTATTATGATACATTTAAAAATTAATCTTCCTGTGTAAGGGTGAGGACTGATGTATTTTGTGGCAATGCTACTTTTAATTCTTGTGTTTTTAAGTTAATTGGGGTATTTGTGAAAATAAGTTATACAGCCTCACTGTATTTTATGCTGTGAGTTACAGTTTACCTTAAAGTTGAAATAGTTTAATTTCAGTTTTTTAATTTCATATTTACACTTGTTCCTCTTTTTAAAAAGTGGGGTCTTAAGGAGACAGCTGCAATTTTTCAAGCAATGAGTAAGAATGAGATAGTGTGGATACTATTGTAAAGACATGGTCTTTATTTATTTTTAAATTGTAAAAAAAGGTTTTATTTATTTGAGAGAGAGCATGCATGCACACAAGTGGGGGAAGGGGCAAAGGGAGAGAATATCCAAGCAGACTCCCACTGAGCATGGAGCCTGACATGGGGCTTGATCTCACGACCCATGAGATCAGAACCTGAGCCGAAACCAAGAGTTGGACGCTTAACTGACTGAGCCACCCAGGTACCCCAAAGATATGGTCTTTAAATGATGAGTTCTTCTAGGCTCTCGAATGGAATAGATAGAAATTCCTAAATAATCTTTAGATAGGCAGTTTACAATCAAATTAAAATTAAAAAGACTGATCTATTAAATAGAAAACTCCTCTTGTTTGTGTTGCTGTTAATAGTTACGGTTATGAGGTTATGGTTCAGGGAGAGTAGTCAGAGCACTTGGGTTCTAGTTCTCTGGCACTGCCTTTTCTAGCTGTATGACTTCAGATAAGTCATTTTTGAGCCTTACTTCCCTCTTTTTTTTTTTGAGTGGGCAGCAAAGCAAAATTTATTGAGCCATAGTATAAAGCTCCCGAAGAGAGAGGGGACCCGAGAGGGTTGCCCTTAACTTTCCTCATTTTTTAAACTGAGGCTGATTTTATGTACCTCCTGGAATGGTTGTAAAAGAGTATTTTAAAAGCTCTGTTAAGATGCTAGGAAAATGCATCTGGGTGGCTCAGTCGTTAAGCATCTGTCTTCGGCTCAGGTCATGGTCCCAGGGTCCTGGGATCGAGCCCGACATCGGGCTCCCTGCTCAGCAGGAAGCCTGCTTCTCCCTCTCCCACTCCCCCCGCTGTGTCTCTCTCTGTCAAAAAAAAAATAAATCTTAAAAAAAACCCCAAGAGATGCTAGAAAAATGTAAGCTTTAAGCTTTGCAACTGTTTCAAAGAATTATAAAATGCAACTTATTTTCTCTTGCAGATCTGCTGTTTCTTGTGGGTCTCACCTCCTCAGTGTGCATAGTAGCCGAAATTATAAAGAAGGTTGAGAGGAGCAGGGAAAAGATCCAGAAGCATGTTAGTTCGACATCGTCATCTTTTCTTGAAGTATGATGCATATTGCATTCTTTTATTTGCAAACTAGGAATTGCAGTCTGAGGATCATTTAGAAGGGCAAGTTCAAGAGGATAATGAAGATTTGAGAACTTTTAAACTTTTCATTGACTAGAAATGAGTGTTATGTTAAAGACTTGATTTGAGACTTTAACCTGCTGGCAGTCCCAAATGAAATTATGCAACTTTGATAACATATTTCTTGATTTAAATTGGCTTTTGAAATTGAGTGGAACTTTATAAAGCATATGGGCAGTTATTTAATTAAAAAAAAAAAGCAAAACCTGAACCACCTTCTGCACTTAAAGAGGCCTAACAATACAACTACACTATCTATCTTAGATAGATATTAATTTTTTTTTAATTTTTAAATATTGTACTATTTATGGTGGTGGGGCTTTCTTACTAATACACAAATAAATTCAGTCATTTCAAAGGCATTCTATTGGTTTAGAAGTTGATTCCCAGGAGTGCCATATTTCAGCTACTGTATTTCCTTTTTCCTGCAATGTAAGCAGCTCAGACACCTTGTGTTACTGTTTTTGTATCAAGTTTTTTGCACAGGATGTGACCACTGTCAGATCACTGTTCTTTTCTTTCTTTTTGTGATTGAAAAGCCTATACTGCAATTTGAAGTAAATGTTTGCTTTTCTTAGTAAATGTAAATGGCTGCTTTTTTTTGTTTTTTGTTTTTGTTTTTTTTTAAGTTAAGAGTCTTTGGTCTAGCAAAATTAATACAGGGTTATCAAGTGGCATTCTAGGTAGAGTAGCCTTGTCTGTAATTAACAGTCATAGAATCAAAAGTATTTAAGAGTGATTGGGCTGAAATCTATAACAGATTATATGAACATGTTAATGCCTCTTTTTGAGTTAAATATAAATATATACTTTGTCAAGTATCATTTTGTCATCCCTTAAATATAAATCCAGTACCTCACCTGAATAACTGAATTTTATTTTTCTTAATGTCTTTCTATGTATATTTTTAAGCATCTTTCTTCGGAAGTATAGAATACTATACTTGATAAAAAAGCCCCAAACTCAAATAGATGGTTTCTGAACCAGGGTATACGGGAAGACTGTGCTGGCCTTTTCTCTTTGAGTATCTGCAGCTTCTTTGGCTTAGATGCAGCACTACCTTGAGCGTGTACCTTCAGACTTCCACCATTTGTTCTCTGCCTTCTGTTGCATTGGGCATGCTAGAGAAATAGTTGGGTTTACTCTCATAGTCCCATCAGTTTTTATAATAGCTTGGTGAGGTGTAGGTAATTTTTTTTTTTTTTAGTGTGTTGTGGCAAATTTGGGCCAGAAATTCAAAATTAGAAATCCATTTTCCTATTGAATATTTCTCTCTGAAACAGAAATGGGTTTCAAATTCTTACATGTTTAATTCTTCTTGAAATTCATGAGTTTTGTATTTTATAATTATTCTCCATTTTTTAAACTGTCAGCATAAACCACCCTCTAGTTTTTATCACCAATATTAACCTGCCAGTGTTAACATTGAAATATTTTTATTAATGATAGGGAAAATATCTATTCTTTGAGTCCTTGTAATTGAAACAGTTGAGTATAAGGAGCTGAGATGTCTGAAATTTATTCTACTTTACCCTTTAAGGCTTAATAGTCAAATGTACATTTTTCTTATTAGATAGAACATAGAAACCGTTGTCTAGTCAACTTTATCTTTAATGACGTGATGTCTCATACCTAAATTTTGTATGATTTTTTTTCTCTGTTACAAAGACTTGAAATATTAAGTGCATCTCAATCTTTTGCTTTCCATTTTAGGTTCAGAGTATGACTCGTATGAAATAAATGTGCCTATCCTTTGATTCGGTTTTTGAACCAAAAGAAAAAAATGATTTCTTTTCATAAGTTAATGACCTTGCAGTTAGGACCGTTAACATTAAAATCTTATGGATGTAGAAGATACAGAAATTAGGCAGTACTCAAAGTGCACAGAATCTGATTTAAAAAGAAGTGACACGTATAGACAGCACAGATACACTATATCCAGGTTTCAATTTTCTGTAGTATAACAACAAATTAGAATATTTGTATATATATCTTCCATAGTATATCATCCAAATTAGTATAGATACTTTAAATATGCTAGTATCTAAATTTTAAATTTTCACCCCACTCCCTAGCCCTAGGACTTGCTAGAGTCCTAAATAATACTAACTTATTTGATTTTTCCCTGTTAGCCTACCTCCTGAAGTTATTTGGTCCCAAAGTGATTAAACATCTGGGAAGAAAAGAAAGGAACTTGAAATAATTCACCTAGGTAGATAATTCCCAGCTACAGAGAAACAAGGCTTAGCATGTTCTCTCACATTTGTACTGGGCATAGCATGACCCAAAGATGAAACAAAGTGAAACCAGACAACCTAAAAAACCTCCCCCTTCAGGATACAGGCTTTATTTAATAGCAGTAACCACACTCAGAATGCTAAAACACATTTTTTACCTTTTACACCCATGCAAGGTACATCTTTCACATTGGTAGTCTTTCTGAAATCACTTTAAGTTTTAATCTCTTTTATATAGGACAAAAGTGAGTATTGGCCATACTCAAAATAGTTTTTCAATGAAAAGAATTGGTGGCAAACAATGTCATATCCAAGAACCTTAATTAACCTTACCTTGCTTTCTGCCTTTGTCACTTGGCAGTTCATGTGCATTGCATGTGACTCAAGCGAAAACTTAGGTGGATGAATTGTCATTTCAGTAAACTTTTACTTAGTACCTGGAGTTAGCTAAGAATAAAAAGGTGATGGCATCCCTGCCTTTCAAGAGCTCATGGACAGGGTTAGCAGGGCATATAACTGTTAACAAGCTATTTCATGAAAGTTAGTAGTGGTCTTTGTACATTTATTTTAAAAATACACATACATTAAGATGAATCCAGCACACATTTTACTGGAAGTTTCCCTCGACACTGGCATTTGGGAATCTTTGAAATGCCTTTTTAGACTAAGCTACAGTCCAAACAGCTGATTTGCATACTGAAATGTGTGGGTAAATACTCTTAACTGGTATGTGACTGAACAATCAGATTATCCCCATAATTAAGCTTCCTTGAGCTCAGAATTCGGTATGAATGGGCGCCTGGGTGGCTCAGTTGGTTAAGCGACTGCCTTCGGCTCAGGTCATGATCCTGGAGTCCCAGGATTGAGTCCCGCATCGGGCTCCCTGCTCGGCAGGGATTCTGCTTCTCCCTCTGACCCTCCTCCCTCTCATGCTCTCTGTCTCTCATTCTCTCTCTCAAATAAATAAATAAAATCTTAAAAAAAAAAAAAAAAAGGATTCGGTATGACTATTAATTCTTGTTAGACAACCTTATTTTTGGTTTTGGTTCTCAGAGTTGGTTATTATTGATAATGGGTAATGGTTAACCAGTCCTTGATATTAATGTAGATAGAATAGACTGCAAATATTGTTGTAGATATAGATGTATAAAGCAGTAAGAGGTAGTATCTTGCCTTTGGGGAATTCTCCGTCTTAACCCTGGAGACCAATATGAAATACATTCGGCACAGTGGTAAATGCTGCCCCAAATGTTATCGTAGCTAAAGGAGAGAAACAACTTCATAGGAAGAGGTTGTCAGAGAGATTTCCTAGAAATAGTAGCATCTGAATCAAACCTTAAGTTAGGATTCTCCAGCCTAGAAACAGCAGAATATTGCAACCAATTGCACAGCCTCTACAGAGGTGTTGGTGGAGGACTGAAAGGAACAGATGAAAACCACAAGGAGTTGGGGGCAGTTAAGGCAGGAAGTATATTATGTGAGGGGTTTGACAGATAGGCAGGAGCCTAGTGGTGAAGGTAAAGACATTTGATTGGTGGCATACTAGAAGATTTCAGGAGTGTGATATGAGTTTGGATTTTTGTCATTAATGGAAGCATGAAGGGTGGATTGTAAAGACAAAATAAGACTGATGAAGAGAATTGTAAAAGATTAAGTGGTAGAGGGACTAGCTGAGCTGTGGCAGTCAGTATGGAAAGAAAGGCATGGCATATTTGTCTTCTAAGAGGTAGTATTGACATGACCAGATGGGAGAAAAGAAACGTGGAAATTCCCTGTTTGGGGCTTTCTGGCTTGGATAGTAGAGCTGTTGGGAGAATTACCGAAGCCGAGCGACCTTTAATGGGACACAGGTCAATTTGGAATGTAAGTTTGTGGTGTCCTTGAAATTTCCCAGTGGACATGTTAGATGAGGTTTTAGCAGAATATGATTTAAAGCCATGGCTGACAAAGTATATTGTAGGAACTTGTTACAGGCATTATCTATATTCTTTTACTAAAAATAAAGCAGTAAATGAATATAAACTTGGCTTTGACAGAATAAAATTTTTTTTAAGTAGTTTTTTTAGTATAGTAAGGTAAGATTCAGCAAACATTCAAAATGCAAGGGGAAAAGAGGAACATTTCAGCTGCCTCTGTTACAGAGCTTTCAGAATGAATCTGTTAATTAAGATTACTAACTGGAAGGCACTGATCTGAATTATTGGGAGCACATCTTTTTGATATTTGCAGTAAGACGCTCTCTTAAGAGGTGAGAGAATATAAGCAAAGAAATGCATGGCGTAGACTGAAGTTTGCTGTGTGTGGAAACATACTTAGTGAATGGCATTAAGGCTAGAAAGTAGCTGTTTGCTCCGAGAGATTTATGGCAGGGAATCAGAAGCAATGTTTTGTTTTTTTCTTTTCCATTTTAGTCGTAATTCTTCCTTGGATCTTTCTAGCCTTGTATCCCACACAGTGTTCTACACAATTGGATAGTATTCCTTCAACTTGAAAACCTTTTTCCTCTGCCTCAGTTTTAAGAATTAGAATTTTTACTTGTTCTTCAAAACCCAGCTGAAGAGCCAACAAGCAGGGCCTTTCCAGATTACTATAAAGGGGTGTGTGTGTGGTGTGGGGGGGTACAGTTTCTTATAAATACTATTAAGAATAAACCCATCCATAAGTTTGGGCATAAAATTG